GCAAAGGATCAAACTTCCACCGGTTTAAAGTTACAAAACCCCCTTAGGAAGCAGGAGAAGAAGGGGAAATTTTGGATCTAGTGAGCCTGCAGGAGAGAGTGAAAAAATCAAATTACCACTGCTCTGAACCTGGGAACGGGCTGCCAGATGACGTTTGGAGAGAGTGCTTTTGACAGAACGGATTTGACAGCTAGCTAAACAAGAGTAAGATACTGTTTCCATTGTCCCTTTCTGCGTTTAAAAAAAAAGAGGAAAAGTAACTGAAATTTTATCTTTAATGTTTGAAATTGTGCTTGAAAGAACTGATACAAGTGGAGACTGTTTCCCTCTAGAGGGAGCTTTTGAAACTGTAACAGGACTGTAACTGGGGAATTTCCAGCTGCAGAAAAGGAGTTTGGGAACCAGAGAGCGACCTTGGACTATTTAAAAATGTTGATAGGAGAGGCCATTGTGACTGTTTTATGTAAGATAAGCTGTTCGCTGGGACAGCTTCACAAGAAGATGGATGATATGACTCTCAAAGTTGATAATTTGGAACAGAAAGTGACCAACTTGAGTCAAAAAGCGAACACTAACACAGAAATAATTCAGGACTTGGTACAGGAACCCATTTTGGCAGAACAAATGGTGGAGGAGAAGGAGGAGAAGGAGAATGCAGCTGTTGTTCAACATAAAATAATACAAGTGAGATCTGTGGATTTACAGAAGCAAATTGGAGATTATAAGTTGAGGCCTTCTATGATTGAATCCAGGAAAAGCCAGACTCCGAGGAATGGATCCCGGTTTGGATTAAAGAAGGAAAGTTGGAAAGAGCCCTCTATGCAGGGATTAACTGACTTTTGGGACATGGACTCGGGCCTGGAGGAGATTGAAGTTTTGGGGGCCTTTGGAATTGGAGGAATTTTGAAATATACCTGGAAATACTTTATGGACTGTAGTTTTAACTATGGAAACTCAGCTGATTTGTTCAGAAGGAAGAAAAGGATTGACAGGTTGGAATTTTCCCGAGATTGGCTCTTTAGCATTAAAGAAAATGAAGAAGACCTGCAGAAGGGACTTGGAAAAGAGTTAAGAGCCTCGGACATAAGATCACCAGGTTGATGGACTTTATGGAATTGACGGAAAGGACTGGCAGAATCCGAAACCTGGGAGAGGAGATGGTGGAAGAAGATTGGAAAATTTAAAGTTTTTATATAGACTTATGGTAAAACTAATGAGTGATAGAAAAATGGTGGAATGATTTTTTATTTTTTATGGGCTTAACAGAAATGTTATAAGGAGTTAAGCACATATAAGTAATTTAGTTTTAATGGAAAATAAGGTTAAAATAATACGTTATTTACAATATCACAGAAAATGGAGAAAGATGGAAAGGATTTGCTGAAACAATTAATAGAAGCGGAACACAAAAAGGGAGGTGTGAGGAGGTCGAGGAAACAAGGGAACGAAAGATAGAGTATGGAAAAGAGAGGATGTATGTTTTTAAATTGTTTTTGTCTTGGGGAGTGGGGTTTGTTTAGTTTAGCTTAATGTGTCTAGTTTTGAGTTTAGGTTGTGTTTTGTATTGTTTATATATTGTATTGTATTGTGTTTTTTTCTCTCTCTCTTTGTTTTTTTTCTTTGTTTTTTCTTCTGTTTTTTCTCTTTTGCTTTTTTTCCTCTCTTTTTGTAATCTATAAAAGTAATAAATATTTTTTTAAATAAAAAAAAACAAATTCCCGTGTGCGATGGGGTGAGCTCCTGCTGCTCTGTCCCAGCTTCTGCCAAGCTAGCAGTTCAAAAGCAAGCCAGTGCAAGCAGATAAATAGGTACTGCTGTGGTAGGAAGGTAAATGGCATTTCTGTGCGTCACGGTGTTTCGTTGTGCCAGAAGCGGTTTAGTCATGCTGGCCACATGACCCGGAAAGCTGTCTGTGGACAAACACTGGCTCCCTCGGCCTGAAAGCAAGATGAGCGCCACAACCCCATAGTCGCCTTTGACTGGACTTAACCGTCCAGGGGTCAGAGCCTGTAACCAGGAGCTCAGTGCAGCCATGCTCTCCCTACCAGCACTGCACAGAAGTATACTGTCTCTGATGGTGGAGGTAGAACACCGGCCTCATGGCAGGTAGCCATGGATAGTCTCATCCTCCAGGAATTTATCTAATCTTTTTTAAAGCCAAGTTGGTGACCATCCCTTCTTTGTCCAACTGAACCCCACAGTTTAACTATGCACTATGTGAAAGAGTATATAAAATTATTCCAGTTAGACCTTTTTAATGGACAGTTAACTTGCACAGAGAGGGACGCGGGTGGCGCTGTGGGTAAAACCTCAGTGCCTAGGACCTGCCGATCGTATGGTCGGCGGTTCGAATCCCCGCGGCGGGGTGAGCTCCCGTCGTTTGGTCCCAGCTCCTGCCCACCTAGCAGTTTGAAAGCACCCCTAAGTGCAAGTAGATAAATAGGTACCGCTTTATAGCGGGAAGGTAAACAGTGTTTCCGTGTGCTGCGCTGGTGCTGGCTCGCCACAGCAGCTTCGTCACGCTGGCCACGTGACCCGGAAGTGATTGCGGACAGCGCTGGCCCCCGGCCTTTTAAGTGAGATGGGCGCACAACCCTAGAGTCAGACACGACTGGCCCGTATGGGCAGGGGTACCTTTACCTTTACCTAACTTGCACAGACGGTGGAACAGGGAGAGTCACACTTTCATCTGCCATCCTGAAGACCTTTCTGTGTATATCAAAAGCTTGCCAATATACTCACCTTTTCTCTCTCGTTTTTTTTTACCAGTGTCCCAAATCACTTCTGATCCTATGCAAATGTCTTCTCTTCATTGTGTACAGGTTCAGTACACTTCAAACGAATTGTGTTTACATTTATGGGGAAGCTTCTGGTCTGCTAAGCATAATTTAATTTGAATAATTGCTATTAAGTGTTTTCCTTTATCACTCTGTAACTATTCTTTAGTTAGTACTCAGTAAAGCGTTTAAAGTGAAATTTTCCATCGTCACTTTCTTTCATTTTTTCCCTGCAAGGACATACTAATTTAGCATAAAAGGGGATTTTCCTAATCAGCAAGAGAACAGATGGGGTTTTTTTTGTCTCTTTAGAAGACAACCACAAAACATTTTTAAGACTTATTTGACTATTATGCACCAGGATTCAGAGAGGTTTTGGGTATATATAATGACCTGGCCTTTTTCTTTTCTTTTTTTCTTTTTTTAGCTTCTCAAAATGCAAACAGTAAAATGCAATTTACTGTTAAACAACAAAGCAAGAATTTTACAAGAAATTTAGTCGAATTGTTGGCATAAACCAAGAGGTTTCCTCCATTTCTCCAAGCAGAGTCTAAGCCAGCAGAGGTTGTGGCATTAGGGCAAATAGGCCACAGCCCCACCAACCTCATTCTGCCAGCCAACTGCCCCCACCTGCCTGCCTTCTCAAAGTACTTACCGGTAGCTCTTCCTCTTCCTTAGTCTCAGTGTTGCCCATTGTAGAACTCAGCAGGGAGGAGGATCAGAACAAAACCAGAAGGAGCTGTCTTTGCACATCATTTACTCCTGCTCCCCCTATTGTTGGTCTCCTTGCCTTCTGCCCTATCAGCCCCAGTAGACGCCAGCACCACTGGTCTAAGCAAGACATCAAACCAGGGCTGGGCCAAGATATTTTTCTGGCTGTCCATTTCATGTACAGAAGCTAACCAGGCTGGCAGTTCAATTATTCAGCCTTAGCCAGTGGCCACCACAACACTTGAAGGCAGCAGGCTAGCTTAGGGGTGCAGGGCAAGCTGCGTGGTACCCACAGCTGTCTCCCAATACCTACCTCTGTGCCCCACAGCATCTGCTGCCCAAGACAGATGCCTGATTCTACCTAATGGTAGGGCTGGCCCTGTGCTCACTTGATACTCCCAGAAAACACTATATTTCTACTCTGGCTAGCGAGGAAGCTGCTTTCTCTTCTCTATCAGTGCATGGTGTTTATGCTAGACAAGAGGGCCCTTCTAGCCAACCAGAGCGTGTCAACAGAGAAAGGGTAGTGCTAGCAAAGCTCTTCTCTGTCAGCAGTTGCAGTTGATGCTGGCTGGTCGCACAGGTGCTTTTCCAACTGGCTAACCAGCATAAACAAGTGTGCGCTGGGATGAGTTCTATCTAATACTGTGTGCCAACTGCAAATATTGCTTATTGTGTTTGGTGATAAGTCCTGCTTGATCCTTTAAACACAGGGGTGCATTCTCAAATTTGGTCGAGTTGCCAATACTGGCATGGTGATTTAACAGGGCTTTGGGTCAGTACAATCCAGTATGTGGAATCCATGCCAGGCATAAGAGTCTGGAATGGCAACACAGCTTGGATCAGACCTGTATAATATTTATTTAAAAGGCTAACAAGGTGGAATAAGAGAGCACAAGGAAAGAATTTATAAACTTGAAACTGTTCTTAACCTGAAGCATCACTTTAGCTAATGGGGCCTCCTGCTGCTGCCGGAGCACGATTTCTGTTCTCATCCTGAAGCAAAGTTCTTAACCTGAAGCACTATTTCTGGGTTAGTGGAGTCTGTAACCTGAAGTGTATGTACCTGAAGTGTATGTAACCCGAGGTACCACTGTATAAGGAACTGACTAGGTCATAAAACATACATTTCTAACTTCTGCAAACCACAAACTTTTCTCCTTTGAAATAAATTTATTCTCCACATCTCACCGATAGGAACAAAATTTATGCCATTATCACAAGTTGCAGAAGTCTGCAAAGTATGTTTTCCATGCCGTACACTTGCTGCTGTTTCAACTTTTATTTTTCCAAGACCCTTTTTGACATGCAAAATATGTTGAATGGATCCAAGCCTCTCGCTATATTTACATCAATTTAAGAAACATAAAACCCATTTCCCCTTCTGGAAAAAAAATGCATATTCCAGAGAGTGAACTCATTTCCTGCATTATTTAAATTTAACCATGACATGAGTCTGCACATGAACATAATAAATTAATTGGATTGAGTTCTGAAGAGAAACACACGCATGCTTCAGTAATTAAATTTTTATTTGTGATTAAGTTGCAGAGAATACACAATATTCATATTTTACTTAACACGCAAAATATTTAGTTTTGTTGCCCAATCTTCCATTAACAAATGATAACATCCCCACTCTAATCCGCACTGCATGTTTTCATATACCAGAATCCTGTTTTGAAGCTTTATGATCCTAATCAGTCACATAAAACTTGCAATTATGTTACAAGAAATTGTTTTCCTTTCTTATAGTTATGTACAATATTAAAAACAAAACCCTTTTAAGTCATGTTGGTAGGAAAGGAAATTTTACACACTTAGAACAGTACATGCTACCAGATAAGAGGAAATTATAGGAGTTCTGATTCCAATTTGAAATACACTTAACAAGTTCTGACTCTGAAGTAACATGGAGCTTTCTAAATTTCCACACTTGTATCAGTTAACAAAAGAGCAAAACATACAAAATGCATTCCAGATTTGTTATCTGACAGAAACTGCTAAGCACAAAAACAGGCAAGAAAAATTATTAGAGCCAACAGCATTGTTCTGTGCCAACACTTATTTCTATGGGATAACCAGCTTCATCTAACCAACATTCTTAAATCTAATTAATTGCATGAAGGGGTTAATACCATACAGTCCTGCCAGACTTAATCTAGAATTCTGGAAACAGGTAATCAAGTCTATTGTTCACCCTCAGTCTACATGTGGATCCAGGGTGTGAGCTCTGAGTTGCTGCCTCAAGCTGCATGGCTTTTATAAGCCGCTCAAGTTCCTAGACCAATAATTTAGGAACTTTTGCCACTTTGTAACTGAACTAAGTTTTACTGCCTGTGCAACTTTTCTGAAGCACATGAATCTGACCTTTGAAGCATTTGTAAGTAAAACATTTTTTAACATACCAAAAGTGAAGGTTTTTTCCCCTATGCTGGAGGAAGAGGAAAACTTTGGAAACAAACTTTTAAGGGAACATTTTTGGAACTCACTCTAAAGGGCATATTTTAAAGGTCTAATAACCTTTATTTCCATACTTTATATACTTTGCTGCATATTGTGATTTTAAATCTTTGCTGGGATACCAGAGTACTTACCCCAAATTTGGATCTTGGCATCTAAGAATTATTTATTTTGTCATTGCACCAAATTTGTTGCTGGCTTAGCAGTCCCTTTGCCATATAGTGTTATCCTATTCATGTTTACTTAAAATTTCTGCTGTATCTAATGGAGCTTATTTTCTTAGGTGTGTTTAGGATTGCAGCCATAGGTGTTTCTAGAGGCATCCTTACCTGGCAGTGATAATGGCTCTCCTGGCTGTGGTGCCAAACTATTGTCTGGGGAAATCACTGTTCTAATCACCACCTCCCACAGTGTGAATGTAAATAAGATTGTTGAAAATACTAATTAAAAGTTCAAATAAGTAAGCATTGTTCTCCAACACCTGCTCTTTGCATTTCCTCCCTCAGGCCTGCATTTGAGCCACTCAGTTCCTTGTGAAAGCAACTGCTGACATTTATAAAATTATTAAAATACGCAGGAATATTATTTGCAGTTTCCTATTTGTCATGTTGCAAGGGCCAAAAGCTTTTCTGCTTCTAAAACTTAATGAAATGTGTGCAGACTTGTAATATTGAATGTACCCCTGGAGTCAGTAATCTTGACCATATGAAGCTTGTTTTAATACTGGCTTGGTTTAAAAAACGTTTTCAATCTGAAGGACAAAGAACAATTTATGGCACAGCAAGGCTGCCCAAGATTTTTATACCTCCTATTCTTTCTAAAGTATTATAGGCTGAATTCATAAATGGTAACAGCTCTTCTATTATATGCCAACGGGACATCACTAACTGTTGCGACGAGAGCTGTTACGATCTGCTACAGCCAACCAAACAGTACTCAAGGCAAAGCCCACTGAAATCTTGGGTACTGCTATCACTCCAAATTTCTATGGCCCAGAATTCTACTCCAGCCTCCAAAACACAATTGGCTGATTCTATAAATTGCTGTGCTGGCAGGGCAGATTTCTCTGACACTAGGCCTTTGTTGTTATGACTCACAATCTGATCCTGACAAACGTTATCAGATTGTTTTATTAAAACGTACCATGATGGCGCACCTGATCTTTCACATCTGACAGGTTTCATAATTAAAGCTGTTTACAAAGTATTGGCAAATGTTTACATTTGCCCAAGGAACTAATTTGCTGCTCACCATCAAGACTGAGTTCCTGGTCTGCACTTTTCTAGCTTCTTTTAAGCTCAGTTGACCCCTACTGTTTGTTGGTCAGTTGCAGACTAACTACGGTAACTGCTGGGGCTTGTTTAGTGAGCCTTTTAGGAAAACCAAGCACAAAGATTTTGCCTGAGATCCAAGGACCAGATCAGGCTCTTGTTTCTGGAGCAGAGTCCCAACAGTGTGTAAAAGGTGGTTACTTTCTGAAACACCACCATATACTGACGTTCAACAAAGTACACCAGCCAAGCAGCAATTAGTTGAATGCTCTAGTCTTTCCAACTGGAATACAACCAATTTTAGTTAAAAACTAGGTATCAGATTGCTCAACATATTACAAGCAATTGTTTCATAAAGTATATGAGAAACCATGTGCATAGCCATTAGCACTATTCTCCAAATCTTTGTGCTACAGGTTGTGCACATATGATGAAACCGGGAACTTAGAGCATACTGCACGTTTCCACAAGCAGAATATATTTTTATTCTGTTTTTTTCCTGACATAATGCTCTGATGAGAAATGTACAATAGCTCTTCCATGAGCAGATGTTATCGTGCACATACAGGAGAATCCAAATGGAGCTAACCAACTGAGCAGTTTTTCAAATTAGGTCCCTGGCTGATCTTATGGTGCAGCCATGGAGCTGTTTAATATGTTTTAATGAAACTTGCACACCACACCATAAATATGTCTATTTGGCATTAAACATCCTTAATTGTATTAACCCAGGGAGTTGGCACTTACACCACTGTGAAGATTATGGGGAGAAAATTAAACGCTATTTCACGAGGTCAAACTTTTGTTTAAATTGCATCATAATTACATTAACACACACTTGCAATACCTGTTAACTGTAATAGAACATTTTTTCCAAAATAGACAATTCATGTGTAAGTTAACACTAGCTTGTGGTTTTATGGGACTTCAGTTGATAACAACCAATATTACAAACCAAGTATTTCACTGCCAATATTAAATTTCTATGTACACAAATACGTGTAATATATACTCATGTAAATGCTATTGGAACAGTGTAAGTGAAGATGTTGAAGATATCCAACCCATTTTAAAAAGTGTGCAAGACTGGAACAAAGCACCTAAATGGCACCTTGGGAGGGCTCTCCAAGTTGACGGCAAAACCCAAAGTGTTATGTTGGCACACTGTGGTTTTTCTAGCAACTGCTACTACTTAGGGGCTAAAACTGATAAATGATATTATCAATCACCTCATGGTCACTTTCAGCAGCAGGCAAGCCAAAAGACATCCTAACAGGACTTTTGGTTTTGGGCTTGGCTACCAAAGAGTGGCAGCAGTAACAGCATTGGCCTGTGAGGCCTCACAGTGGTGACAGGATTTGGCAGCAGAAGTGGCAGTGGCCTACAAGTCCTCGCGGTGGAGACCCGGGGGGGGGGGGGGGAGCCTTGCGGCAGTAACAGGTGACAGCAGTAGCAGCATCCTGCGAGGCCTTGCGGTGGCAACATAATATTGCAATATTCTGGCAATGGTGATGGCAATAGTAGTGGCAGCCTGCGAGGCCTCATAGCCACACAAACATTGGGGCTTGCGAGGCCTCGCCACGGTGGCAAGAAGTGGCGGCAGCCTGCAAGTCCTCTTGAGGGTAGTGGGAGGAAGTGGCGGAAGCTGGCAGCCTGCCTCAGTGAGGCCTTGCAGGCCACCTCTGCTTCTGCCACTGCCTCCTGCCACCACTGCAAAGCCTCACAAGCCACTGTCATTGCAACTGCCATGACAAGACCTTGCAGGCCATTGCCACTTTTGCCACTACAAGGGCTTGCAGGCCACTACTGCCCCCACTACAAGACCTCAGAGGCTGCTGTTGCCTACTGCTGTGGCGAGGCTTCGCAGGCTGCCAATTATTGCGCCACTGCTTCCAGGCTGCCACTGCTTCTGCCCCTTCCCCGCTGTTGATTCTGCCACCTCCCGGCTGCTGCTACTTTTGCCACCTAGGAGACCTGGCAGTCCCAGATTATTCGTATCCACTATGACTCATTGCTGTACTTTGGATTGTCCTACATGCCACAATTTCGTAGCCAAGCCCCAAACCAAAAGTCCTATTGGGATGAATTTTGGCTTGCCTGCTGATGAAACTGACTTTGTGGTGATTGATAATACTGTCATTTATCCGTTTTAGACCTCTTAAGTAGTAGCAGTTGCCTGGACATTGTCCTGTTCACCTCTGTATAATTCCATCCTTATTTCAGACATTGTGGTACACTGCAACCTTTAGCTGGTGAGTTATCGTGATGGTGAAAACTAGGTATCACCTAGCCCTTACACACATTATGCTTCGCGATATATTGCCTGCTCAAATATGAAACAATTATCACGATGTGAGCTTCAAATTGGTTTTGGACCATATATTGATATATCGCCCAGCCCTAGTCAGAAAGCAAAATTGCTAAACCATCGCATTGTAAGTGGAAGCATTTCCACTCACTCAGAAGACTCTTTTGATCTCAGCCAAAAAGCTTGTGTCGTTTCAGAGCTGCTCTTCTACCTCGTCTGTGGAGTCTTAAAAAGAGTTGTGTTTTAAAAGTTTGACTAACAGAGAATCAAATAATACACTCATCAGAAAGCATTTTAAAGAGGTTGTTTCATTAATTTTTAAAGTAGGATTCTGACACGAGATGGTCAAAACCATTGCTCTGAAACAGAACCACACGTACAACATATAAGAGCACAGTTCTGCATTTTAGTTGTTAACGCCCAAGAACAAACTGGAAAAGAAATTTATATTTTATTGCATTACAGCTCAGTGAAGTAGCACATTGTATTAAGGACATAAATCACTTTTACAATGGCTTTCCCCCCCAACAGTTTTACTATTTGGTGCCGTAGGATCAAGTACCAAACAGGAGTTTTGTTTTGTTTTTTTTCCTCGGGGGAAAGAAGAGGGATACAAGAAAAGAGCAGGTGGGATTCACACCACCTTCTGCCCACATAGAATGACATGCACACACTGGGTGACTATGATCACCAGCACATTACCATTTTATTAAAAGAAACTTTCACTTCTTCAGATGTGCGTAACATCTGCAGCTGATTTCCTGGGATCAGAGAGAGGATAATATCCTAGAGGGAAGCCATATATAATATAAAAACTGCAAACTAAACAAAGCAATGACTTGAGGAGAGTTCAGGCTTTGTAGTCAGAGTCAGGATTATGGCACAGCTATTCAGGTGGATTCTCATTAAAATCGTTTTCGCTTGATGATTTCTGGTTTCCAGCTGACAGGATGAGTTTCTTCAGTCTAGAAGTATTTTTAAAAGAAAAAGGAAGAAAAAACATATTGGAATTCCAGCTTGTGTTAAAGTCAGAATATTTAATAAGATCAGCGTCATTGAATTTTACTATGAAATCACACTCTTGATGAACTAAGTTTATTGATCCAAGCTGAAGTTAAGAGAAAAATATAAAAATATTGCCATCAACAGGAGGGGAAAAATTATCAGTTTTGGTCCAATATACATAACCATATCAATAAATGTTTATTATGGGTGGTATCCAGTGGCAGAGGAGGCAGCAGCACTGGAAACCACTGTGTGTTTCTTTCAACTTCTGCACACAAGCATTAGAATTTATCAATTAAAAGCTCTGGTAAGATAAGCCACTAATCCCATTTCACAGCTGGAGTGTAATATAGATCAATGCATCAAATGTGTGTAGATGACGACACAGGTAGATTTGTTTACTGGATGTGCTATAGTTATTTAAGTGGCTCAACTGCACCATACAATCAAGATATGCAGTAACAAGCTTTTGTTTAAAAGTAGAAAATAAAGCAACAGAAAACATTTCACAGTTTCCTTTGATCAAAGATTCCCAATAAAAAATTCAAGAGTGATTTTCTCCCCTGTAAAACAAGTGTAGTTTGATGTACAGTGAAATAATAATGGACAGAAGGCTGCTGCCATGATAGTCTTAAGTTGGAGCAAGTAATGCAGCAGAACTCTGCACAACAGGTAATAGGCTGCAAACCTACTCACATGTAATAAGAATTCAGTGGGACTTCTTTCTATGCACAGGATTGTGCTCTAAGTGTCGCAGATAATCAGTGTGGCTAAGGAAATACTTGTCTGCTTTTAAAATGCAGCAGCCATCTGCTAGTATCAAGCGTTTTCTGCTCTGAATAAATGCATAGTACTTTCTTCTTTTTAACAATTTTAAAACTTCTACCCTGTTCAGGCTGAAAATGGAATTAGAAATCATTTTATTCCACTGTTGTTAGAAAGTTACAGGCAAGCAACCTAACTGCCCTCTATTTGTAGCGACTGCTTTTTTATTACATTTTCCCATCCCATGAGATGCGTTTGCTGCTGAAGTAGGCCGGCTGCCCGAGCTAATGTGTAATCACTCTAGCAGTAAGCAGCGTTTAGGGATAATGCTTCCAGAATCTCTGTCCTAAGAGTATCTTAAAACCTAGTTTTATATATAAAATATGTGGCGAAAAAGAATATGGTTCTCCATACCGCAGTATCATCTTCTCTGTAGACTTTAATGGTTTTATCAGCTTCAGCAGTAAGCAGCCTGCTTTCAGACTGATCAAATGCACATGCAAATATTCCAGATTCACTGTCCAATGATCCAGGTTGTACAGCCGCATGCACTCTCTGGAAGTTATACCCAGTTCTCCAGTCCCAAAGATGCATCGTACCATTGTCAGCTGAAAAACAAAATCAGTGTTACACCTGCTTTACAATTCAACATACAGCCCAAATTCACTTTAATGTTTTTATTATAAAAAAAACCCCACTTACTCTATGTAATCACAACAGCACCATCAGCACAATCCTATGCACATTTACTCAGAAGCAAACCCCACTGAGTTCAATGGAGCTTATTCTCCCAGGAAACATTTATAGAATTACAGCATATCAGTTCATCAATTAGTTAAACCTGTGTTGGTTTGCAAGTAGTTCTGAAGCAAGTATACTATGCTTTCAGATGATGCAGGCACATGTTATAGCTGGCATCAGTTTAGAAGAGGCATTTTATCTTACGTAAGATAAAGGGGGGATGTTTCTTAAGATTGTGCTTGCCATCTGCAGTCTATACTAAAACACAGGTGCCACCATTTAGAAGGCCCTGCACCTCATCTCCATCAAATGTCAGATAAAGGTGGGATTTGGAACAAGAATTCTTCCAATTACCACCCTCAACATACTTGGGCCAAGTTCATTTATGGCTCTAAACCAGGCATCCCCAACTTTCAGCCCTCCAGGTGTTTTGGACTACAATTCCCATCATCCCTGACTGGTCCTGTTAGCTAGGGATCATGGGAGTTGTAGGCCAAAACATCGGGAGGGCCGCAGGTTGGAGATGCCTGCTCTAAACCAAAGCTTTCCAAACTAATTTTGTTGGTGACACACTTTTTAGACATGCATCATTTCATGACACAGTAATTCAGTTTTACTAGCAAACCAGTGGTTTAACTAACCACTTTCTAGCCCCGGGAGAAGCAGGGAGCATTCGTGCGACGCCAACACACTGATGTGTCAAAATACAATTTGGAAAGCTTTGCTCTAAATGTTAAAAGCAGTATTTTGAATAGTCTGGGACCCAAAACTCTTTCAATGCTAGTGCTATACATTTGTGGAGTCAATCAAAATGGACTGGTGACCTCTGAGCTATTCAGTGTTTCAGAACTGTCTGCATAAGTGAGCCCTGCAGACAGCATGTTACAGTAAATAATATGGGAAAAAAGAAATGTCCCTATTCAAGCTACTTCGAAAATTCTCATTTACCTCCAGAAACCAGAACTCCATCTGAATTCACAGCTAGTGTATTGATAATAGCACTGTGACCAGAAAGATTCTGGATAAAGTTTCCATCAGGGAATTTCCACTGTTTGATGTTATCCGGAGACCCAGATGCAAATGTGTACCTGTAACAAGGTATATGTTAGCAAGTATTGGAAGTTCAGTTAACCAAAGACTACTATATCTGATTAACAATTTAATTTACCACTTTCTTCAATAATATACATTGTTGCAGTTGTTGTAGTTATAATATTATATTATTATATGTATTACATTACATTAACAGGAGAGGAAAAAACCTGAAAAAATCTTACTGTCTTGGGTGCAGTACTACTGCTCTTACTGATTTCTTGTGATTGGTTAAAGTGACCCGTGTTTTTCCTCCCACTAAGTCCCAGAGTCGTATAGTGGTATCATGACTTCCTGTAAATACAAAATAATAAGAACAGATTTTAGAAAGGCATGTGGATAGGATAAGTATCTGAACTGCCTGTATGTTAAAGAATCACATGCTCCAATTTTGTTATACTTCCAAGTTTCACAATCACAACTCTGCTTCTGAGAATCCCTGCAGAGAAGGCACCATCATATGCATCAATGTTATCTTAAATTGCATTTCAATGTCTTGGGGGGGACTTAGGATTATCCAATAGTCAAACTTTCAAAGCGCCAAGGTACTTCTTTTCTGAAAAGGCCTTCTATCTGCTGTATACACATTTGTAAGTAAATAGCTTCCTATTGGTTAGTGGATTACCACCAACACATTGTAAAAACTCCCACTGCTAGTTTCCAGCTGAAAATCAAGCAGCAAAATGGGCTACATATTCTACCATCTTCAATTCACAACATGGCTGCAAATCAATTGTTTTCTGGTTCTCAATATGTTTCCAAAGAGAGTCTGGGAATTGGAACAGCACTTTTCCTCCCCTATACTCCAGCTGACTGTAACAGTGAACTGCTGGATATGCTGTATGCATTTGGTAAACAACTTCCACCATACCCGTGATGATCTGTGGTTCTGCCGCTTGACACTTCACTGTTGCCACAGCATTTGTGTGTCCTGCCAATGTATGCACGCTCGCTTTTGTCCTCACATCCCAAATCTAGGGAGGTTAGAATCAAATTAGAACAGATAAATGCACCATCCACCATCAAAACCAATGACAAAAGTATGTATCACTCAGGTCTCTCCTGATGTGGAAGGCCAACTCTTCCTCTGCTCACCTATTAGTTCCAGTATTACTTGTTAGCAGCCTGGCCTTTCATCATCAAACTTCTCTCATCTTCTTGTGAACTTGAGCCCAGCATTTAAGAATTACTGCCCTATATCATTTCATAATTTGTGTATTCCGCAGTGGCAGATACCACACTGAACTGTAGCCAAAGCAATAACTCGTAGGCCACAGGAAGCCTTCAAAAAATTTAACTCATACAAAAGTATGTGTTACAACCCACCCTAATGCCCCTGAAGATAATGAAACACATAAACTAGGATGGAAACTGAAGCTGTCGACCAAGTATTAAATGTTCACTAAACTGCAGGCAGGCAGGAGGCATACATGCCTTGAAGAGCTGATTCACACATGCGACATTTTTCCTACGTTGTGACATTATTATTATTATTTTTAAATGGGAATCAGACAAAAGAACACAGAATTGTATTTTCCTGTAGCAACACATTATTGACAAGCAGGTATGCACACATATATTCACAGCATATATCGCATATGGTGGTATACCCCAATTTGCCTAAACAGAGACTATGTCCATGTAAGATACAGGGAGTGCCATACATTCCTGTTCAAAGGCCAAGTTTCAGTCTTCATAGCATGATTTAGATCTGACCAAATCACATAACCTAAACCAGGGAGGGTAAGTAGAATTTGTACCTTTTGAAATGGAAGCCAAATTGGCAAGAGACAGGAAACCTATTTAAGCATTATCTTACGTAAGAAGAGACAGATCAAATACATCACAGATATATGTGTTTTACTTACACGTGCAGTTGAATCTCTGCTACATGTTACAAGCACGTCTATTGTTGGATGCAAATCCAAGCCATACACAGCACTCAGGTGGCCATGGTAATGCCTAATAACCTACACATCAAACATATTTCAGTTAAAACTGGATGCTACATGAATAGGTAATCTTTAAATTACTAATAAAATTTCAGCTGCTGCCAGTGTGCTTAGCTTACCTTATTATATTCAAGGTCCCAGCATTTCACCTGTTTATCTTCTCCACAAGAGAAAAGGTATGGACTCCGTCCACTCACAATTACACCCCGAACTGTACTAATATGCCCCGTCAAAGATAGTTTCAGTTTGCCACTAGCAAGGTCCCAGATCTGAAGCAAGAGAAACAAATGTTTTGATGATCTTGCAAAAGTTAAGACATCAAAGACTGTTCATTTAATGGAGTCCAACATCTCAAAGACCTAAGCAGCATACAAAATTAATCTCTAAACAGAATTATAAAGTCTGAAAACTCAGTTTTTTATTTAATTCCAGTTCTGGCACACTGGCGCAACTAAAATTCTAGGTAACAGAAAGAAAGATGGGCAATAAATTATGCTGGTCATGAAATACTTAACAGCACCTGAAATAGCATCAATGGCAGCAGACAGTGATTTTTCAGTTCTTTGCTCTCTCTTACCTTTATAGTTCGGTCAGCAGAGCCAGTAACAAACCACTGATTTCCTGGTTCTACTGCAATACATCTCACCCAACCTAAGTGTCCACTGATAACCTGCAATTGTTATAAAATGAGATGGATTGTTATAAAATAAGATGGATTGCGCGGGTGGCGAGGCTTCGGACTGGCTCGCACCAATCAAAGCCCAGCTCCCTTCCTCCACAGGGCAGGGAGAAGCCAGGAGGAGGGAGGGAGGGAGGTGCCGCCGCGGTGTGGGGGGAATGGCTCCCAGGGGAAAATAGCAAAAAAAAAAGGCACAGTCTGAACAATCACACCAATCCAAGCGGCAATTCCAAGACCGTCCCAGATCCAGAGGGCAATTGGGCCTGATCTGGCCCGCGGCCCTTAGTTTGCTGACCCATGCTCTAGATTGCACTGGAGCAGGTGTGGGTGCGCTTGAACCTAAGGTTTGAGCCTAAGATTCATCCTTGCAACTTATTTCTTACTTACTCGGTACAGCTTCCATGGGGGATGCCATTGTGGTTTTGGCATTGTCGGAGCCTTCTTTGCCATTAATGCAGAATTTTTGTTCCCACCAGCTTCCATCATAGCCTATAAAAGGAACAGACATTTTAAAACTCCACTCAACAAATATCCCACTCCGCCCCAATAAGTTTCTACTATCCCTATATGGTTATGCAGTGTCATTCTGTCACAACCCTATTCCCAACAAAGTCACTGTTAAGAATCCAATTTGGTAAATTTACTGCATCTCCATCAGAGGCTTTCAATTAATGGGGCTTACCAGAGTCAAACCTGGAGGCTGTGAGCGCTCAGGAATTCCAGCATGTCTGTATATATCACCAACGCTAGAAGCAGTTCGATTTGATTCCATTCTGGAAAGGCAGGGGGAGTGGACGTGAGGCAGAGAAAGTGAAGATACATTATCCTACAAAGTGTTAGCAGCCGTTTGTTTTCAGTTGCTTCTTTTCAAGTAACTGACAAAATCTTGTGCATGTAAATGTAAAAAATACAAAAAGTGTCCTTAAAACAGTCCTGTAAGGTTGGTCAGCATTACTGCTTCCATACTGCAGATGAAGGGCTAAGGTTTTGAAGAGGCAGCCATTTAGGCTGCAAACCTAAGCACACTTAATAGGAAGTCCTTCTGAATTGAACGGGACTCACTTCTGAGTGAACATGGTTAGTAAACTGCATGGTTAGTGGGTACAGGTGAAATCTGAACCAGGACTTCGTGGCTCACAGCTCAAATCCTTGCAAACTAGCTTTTACCGGAAGGTCCCGCAAAGACTTCACTCAAAAATGGAAAAGAACTGAACATATGCCATTGTCTTCTCATCACTCCCTAATCCAAAGCCCCCTTTTTCGTCTCATCTCCACAGAGAGGTAATCAGAACTAACAAAATGCTGATCAATTGTACAAGGAAAAGGCTCTCACAGTAATTCCAATCCATCTCATCAGACAACATTCAGTTCTTAAATTTCAGCAATATAGAAAAACAAATGAAGCTGCATCAATGAAAAAATCCAAAAGCTCAGTTTCAGATCGAACACATTATTCTATTTCCATTAATACAGATTTAAATAGCTGTTCTTTACATTGCATTTTCCATGCAAACTTCATCAGCTAAAATCATCAGTTAAAAACACAGAATAATTTTGCTTTTAACGGAATATAATTACTTGGACTGAGAAGGTGGCAACGCCACAGCTAATGACTGAGCTGCTGATTCACTAGGCATCCTCTGAATTTTAGTGTCTGCAGTCAAAGCCACTCCTTATAAAAGAGAAAATACACACAGTTAAGACAAATCTTAATTACTTTTTGTTACCAACTAAATCCTGATCAATCTATTCTTGCTGACAAAAGCCAGCCCTCAAAACTTAGTCATTATTGATCATATGTATTTAATGCTATGGATCTAAAGATTTTAGTTGATTTAATTTTACCTGACTTTAACAGGGCTAAACTGGCTTTTAAAATTCAAAGAGTCAATTTTCTCTCTTTGGAACAGGTTGAAACTATAGTTCTCTATAATGCAGGTAAAAAAATATAACTCGTGATACTCTGGATACCTAAGTATACTGGACAACTTGTAACGCTCATTTGGACACTTTAGATACTTTAACAACAACTTAAGCGCCTGTGTGTGTGTGTGTGTGTGTGTGTGTGTATATATATATATATATATATATATATATATATATATATATATGTTTAAATTATGAAATTCTTAGGTTCAAAGTGTTCCATGAGAGAAATACTCCCTGTTAATTTTCACTAAACAGCAGCACAGCTAGATATGTTAAGGCCCAGAAACGCCCTCACCCCCCCAACAGGAAAAATGGGGGGAAACACCTCCCCCAATTTTCCAGGACCATCATATCTCTTAGCCGATATCCAAAGATTTAATAACCAAATGTTTAAGAACAAATGCATCTCCTTCATTTCAAGTAGTGATGGAATAATGAAAGATACTTAAACATTTCAAAATTTGCCTAGTGCACTTCCACTATAACATGTAAGAACTCATTAGGTAGATGCAAACCACACTTCAGTAAACATTACTTGTGTAACTTGCATGTGTAAGTCACATCCAATTATTTTTGGTATTGTATCCTCTAGCTTCATTAAGAGACAGTGACTATCAAGCACTGTATCATTAGTGGCATCTTCCTGGGGAAAATATATATACTAAAATTGCACTCAATTTCACCCATATAGTTTGTTCAAAATCTTACCAGGTCCAGGGGGATATGGATGTGTCCCTGTTATCAAATATTCATCATCATCACCTAAAGAGAAAGAGATTTGTTGATTATTACTTTAATATTATAGTAAACAGATAATTACTTGAATTCCTAAACACACCTTTGTACAATTTTCATTATAATTTGCACATAACAAGAACTGCTGGTACTGTCTACCTTGTAAGCACATGCATTATGTACTGCTTATACACTTAACAAGAAACTTAGGAATTCACATTTTTCCACTCATTCTTCTGGCACAGTGGCATTTATTTCCATTTTTGTTTCTTTGAGGAGTATTATTAAATGTCTTGCTTACTGTATCAATAAACCATTAATAAACACAGTCAGATATAAATATAATTAATAATAACATGTTCTGCACTAGCAAGCTATACTACATCACCAGCTGCTACATCATGGCAAGTCACAGATCAGGCCATGTGTCAGATACACAAAGACTTTCTATGTGAAAGAAGAATAATAAATTTAATAATAAATTTTATTTATATCCCGCCCTCCCCAGCCGAAGCCGGGCTCAGGGCGGCTAACAACAATAAAACAATACAAAAGTACAGCATAAACAACACTCTAAAATCATTCATTATAAAATTAATTAATTCAAGCCACTGGCAACCATTGGGCCAGAGCTCCGTGAAGATTGCCGAGGGAGGGAGTCAGGCTGTGCCCTGGCCAAAGGCCTGGTGGAACAGCTCTGTCTTACAGGCCCTGTGGAAAGATGTCAAGTCCCGCAGGGCCCTGGTCTCTTGTGACAGAGTGTTCCACCAGATCGGAGCCACAGCCAAAAAAGCCCTGGCTCTAGTTGAGGCCAGCCTAACTTCTCTGTGGCCTGGGACCTTCAAGATGTTTTTATTTGAAGACCGTAAGTTTCTCTGTGGGGCATACCAGGAGAGGCGGTCCCGTAGGTACAAGGGTCCTAGGCCATATAGGGCTTTAAAGGTTAAAACCAGCACCTTAAACCTGATCCTGTACTCCACCGGGAGCCAGTGCAGCTGGTGTAACACCGGGTGAATGTGATCTCGCAGCGAAGACCTCGTAAGGAGTCTCGCTGCAGCATTCTGCACCCGCTGGAGTTTCTGGGTCAGTCTCAAGGGCAGCCCCACGTAGAGCGAGTTACAATAATCCAGTCTGGAGGTGACCGTCGCGTGGATCACAGTGGCTAGGTCAGGGCGAGAGAGGTAAGGAGCCAACTGCTTGGCTTGGCAGAGATGGAAAAATGCCGCCTTTGTTATAGCTGCAATCTGCGCCTCCATGGAAAGGGAGGTGTCGAAGATTACACCCAAACTCTTAACGGACGGTGCTGGCACTAATTGCGCCCCCGCAAGAGATGGGAGTTGCCCCCAATCCCATATCGTCCCGTCCCAGCCACAGGACCTCTGTCTTTGAAGGATTTAGCTTCAACCGGCTCCCACGTAACCATCCAGCCACAGCTTCCAAACATCTGGTCAGTGTGTCTGGGGCCGAGTCAGGATGGCCATCCATCAACAGATAGAGTTGGGTGTCATTGGCATACTGATGGCAACCCAGCCCAAAACTCCGAACAAGCTGGGCGAGGGGGCGCATAAAGATGTTGAAAAGCATCGGGGAGGATCGCACCCTGAGGTACTCCACACACCAAGGAGTGGCGCGATGACAATTCCCCCCCAAGCGCCACCCTCTGTCCCTGACCAGAGAGAAACGAGCGCAGCCATTGAAGGACTGTGCCCTGGATCCCCACGTCGGCAAGGCGGTGGTCCAGAAGTTCGTGATCGACCATGTCGAAAGCTGCTGACAGATCTAGAAGAATCAGCAGCCCCGACCCGCCTCGATCCAGCTGTCTAAAAAAAAAAACTGTCTGAAAAACTTCAAAGTCTTCTGACGTGTTGTTCTATAAATATTTAATATGCACTTCCACATGCCACGTCTTTGTCAACCACATGTATGCTGCCTTGGGTCCATGAAAGAAGAAAAGGAAATAAAGATAAAAAAATAATAATCCAGGGTCCTCATTTGTGTAACCACATTGTAACTGAAAGTGCAGCAAAATTCTTTCACTGCAATTGGGGCCCAAATGTCTATACTCAGGTTTATACAATTATAACTGTAGCCATACCTTGATTCTGAAGATACTGCTTATGTCCATAAGAATCAATCACACCATGGGCACCCTTCTCTCGAGCATTTTCTTTCAATACAGGCATGTGAAGCACAGAACCGTACTCTGTACGAAGTTTAACGGCCATCTTTACTTTGTGGCTGCGTAAGAAAACACTTTAGTACATGTATATTTTTGATGCACTGTATTATCATAACAAACTCATGCTTTAAGTAAGATATGCAATTAGGAGTTCTGATAACAGTTCTGATGTTCTTGTGGAGTTATATTGGGATGCAGTATTCTAAGTATTTAGATAAATAGTCCAGCAAACAGGAATGTTACTGAATGTTACAATTTTCTAGATTTTACTACACCCTAGGTGTTCATAGGCCCTAGTTTATAAAGGAAAGCCCTCTATTTAAAGGGCTGCCCAGTCAAAATCCAGGTTAAGGATAAATAATTCTAAAAACGGAGAGCTAGGCCCTCCCCCTTCAACAGTTAGTACCTGGACTACAGGCTGAACAGGCACACAGATCACCTGGTCACAGTTATTCCCACTATAGTGAGATTGTACTGTACTATAGTGAGATTAAGTACTGTATTGTACTTAATACAGCGCCATGCTTCTGAGACATAACTTCCCTTCCTCTCCTACCCTACCCCCTACAGCTTCCACACACTGCCCAGATGTGCTATAGAGGGTCCACAAACCTCCAGAACAGGTTTTGGGGGTTCCAGGAGGCTGCAGAAGGGGGATAGTTCTGCTCCACCAATGACATCTGTTCCACTGCCAGGAGGACACAGTTCAGTTTCTAAGTTTGCATCTGTACACCTGTGCTGGCCTACAGTATACAAATTTTAAGCAAATCTGCCCCCTTCTGTTTTTGTTGTTGTTTTTTGACGATGCATTTCTGACTATGCATATCCCACCAAATCTTTTTTGATACTTCAGCATAAACTCAGTGGGTGATACAAACACAGGATTAGTTGGGTACATAGCCGAGTTTTAACTTCATCCTCCATCACTGTAAACACAATCCAATGTTGATTCTAAGCCCTCAAGAACTAGTTCATTTCAAAATGATACTGTGATACTATGGAATAGGGTTGCTGAGTAATGGATTAAGTTTTTAGACTGGTTTGTAGCTTCAAAAGCACCAATAGCTTACTGGCAATCCTCCTTACCTCCTATCATCCAATGATACTGGTTTTGCATTGTCAGCCACAAACATGTCATGAGTTCTTTTCAAAGATCGGAAAACAAGGGTATGCACAGAGTGCTTTTGTACTTCCTAAAGGGGAGAAAAGTTTCAGACACATCTTTAGTAAGACCTATTTCATTAAAAATGCTCAACGAACATTGACGAGCACTGACCCCCCCACCCCCACGTCTCTTCCTCAAGTCCTTTGCACATGTCAGATAACTCAAGGAAGGTTCTCATTTCTCCTGATCTCTAGAGTAGACAGAAATCTCATACTCTTCTATCTGATTCAAACATAAACACTATATGAGAAATCAGCCTTCTCTCTCCCAAGTCAGAAGAGGCAAATGGTGAGAGTCTTCATAACTTGCCAAGTTTGGGAGTAGACAGAAGAAAACACAAAATACTTCTTTCAGGTCTAAAGTTCAGCATGATGACATGAGAGACCTTTCCTTCCCCTAGAGCAGGGGTGGCCAACTCTCAAGAAACTGTGATCTACTTTCAGAATTAAAAACTGGCAGTGATCTACCCCTGTTTTTTGGGGGTTCAGCTCAAAGTTTTTAATGGATTAAAAATATAGCTTTTGGGGGGGGGACTTCCGTTTTGTGGGGGGTTAAAGACAAGGGACAAAGGGGTAAAGTCATTCACAAAAAGATCGCTATGAATGAAAACAGCAACACAAAGAAAGCTCCATCTTACCTTCCAGAGATCAAGCAACAATGGAGGGTGGGGCGAGGGTGCGGGGCAGGAGTCAGTTTTAGCGACGCTAAGGAAAGGGGGCCAGAGATTGACCGCGATCTAGCAAAACCTCGTGGGGATCGCGATTGACCTGAGCATTGTATTTGTAGCATTAAAATTTCAATGGGACTATTTGTAGTCCCATTGAACATTGTATTTGTAGCATTAAAATTTCAATTGGACTATTTTGAGCATAATTGAGTTGGATACAATTCACTGTGTTTAACTATCTACGGTAAGTATGTATGTACTTGATACATCTTTACTAAATAATAATGTTTACTAAATACTTTGTTTTGGTGAACTTCTTTGGTATGTGTTTTTAGCTGCTTGTTAAAATTGTTATGCAATTCTAGTTTTGTTTTAATTTACAGTATATAAAAGAAATGTGTCCTAGAAATAAACAGAAGTACAATAGCTACTAAAATGTAAAATGTTTTTAAAAATAGTTTGCAGTAGTATGTGTACTTAGAAAAATATAACCCATAAATGTTACTTTCACTAGTATTGTGATGTTCTAATTGAGTCCAAGAAAAGGTATTAGACTAACAGTACTTATGCATACATGGCTAGCTTGACTTTATTTTGTTCTCCTTTAGAACAAGTGTAGCTCACTTTCCCCACCCCCATTCAAAAAGAAGGCAAAGTACCAAAAACAAATGAGAAAAGGGAGCATAGCTCTTGCCCCCATCCTAATAAGTACCTGTTTACTCTGCAACAGAATCTGCTAAGTGCTAAAAACTATGACTGAACTTTCCAAATGAAGTATTAAGTTAACTTTCTTCCTTTCCGGAGTGTCAAGATCAAAGACATTAGACTAATGCTTTGGTCAAAAGTCTGTTTTCCATCCTAGGGTGAACTGGGTGTAAATCCAAACATAAAAGCTCTGCACTTCCTTTCTGGCAAGTCACCTTTCATATACATTTAGAGGCCAGAGTTCCCCTAAATTTATTGTCATTGTAAAACTGGATAAAAAACAAACAGAGTGAGGACATTATTTACAGAACATTAAACATGATCCATTAGCTTTCTGCATGTCCAGTCAGAGAACTGTTTCTCATTTTTTGTTGGCTCCAATCAACTATTACTTGCTTGGTTGATCAGGCTAGCATGCTAATGTTAATACAGAGGCCACATTAAACTGCTTTTTACTATTATCCTACACTGGGAAGCCAATGTCAATTACATTGGTGATACTGGAATTTCCTACCTTGTTTATGTGACAAAGCAGCTATGACAAACAAATGATGAATAAAAGACCAAGGATCTGATGCATGCTCGAATGCAGAGGAAGTGGGGTGTACACATTTGTCCCAGTCAGTTACTCCTTAACAAAAGCACCTACTAAACCCATTTGCACCCAAAATGATATGTGGATGCATGGAAGTATTTGGGTTCACACATGAAACCCCAACTACTATTAATAACAAAGAATGTTATTCAGTATCATGCAGTCATTACTTCAATAGCCGTTCACCATGTAGATGAAACTGTTTTGCTTCTGTACTCCATTACACCATAAATAAAATCTCTGCCTCTTTTAAACATCTTAACAGCAATTCTGCCAACCTGATTTTATTCTCCAGCTAGGAAAATGGGCACTTGCATATACTTATCCTATCCTCCATTCTCTCTTGTCCCTTAACACTCATGTTCTGTTTGCAGAATTTGTGCTCCCCAAATCTCTTGGCTGACCCATGTTGTTCGGGAATGACTCCCATTTTCTAACACACAAATAAATTGTGGATGTGGAGGCTGCATGTCTGTGAAATGTGTCATTCATATTCTTGCCACTTCAGTGAAAGGTACATGATGCTGTTTATCCTACAAGGCTCTGTACTGGTTAGAATTTGTGCTTCAAGACAAACTTTCAAACTTTTCAGGGCTGCAAAATGAGATACCAAATCTGACATAATAGATAGCTGTCAGGTACACTGTCCCTCTGCCATCAAACCCAATTTGTGCAAGGCCCTGCACTACATCCACAGCCTTCTTGGGCTGTTGCAAGATGGAGACTAGCGTTCCTGTATCAATGCAGGGCCACTTAGTTGGCATCCTAAGCCACGGTTTGGTTTGGCTTAACTTAACATGCGAATAGGACCAGACATTTTATGCATTATCTTTAGTACTTGGAAAAAAGGGTCTGAAGCTGATGATGATCTGGGTAAATAGTAATTCATTTATCACACAAACTTCTTCCCCTGCTCTTCAGTGAATACTTTTGTCTGAGTGGTAGCAAAATGCAGAAAAGCTAAATACTCTAGAATTCTTTGTTCAGTTAATTCATCCACAAACATGGTTTATCATGGGATAATTAACTCACATGGGCCCCATACAAGCATAACCCAGCATGTAATAGCAGCATCCCTCTACGTATGTGTACAGGCAAGATGGATACAGCAGTGTTCCTCTTCCTATTGCCTGACCTGTGTTTTCAGTCAAGTATTTGAGGAATAAAAAAAGAACAGCACTTGGGCAGTATGTGTGCCTTACAGACAGCTTATTTTACAATGAAGTAGATCTGGGGATAATTGCAGCTTTTTTAAAGGATTATGAGCATGTAAGCACAGCACACCAATAAAGCTCAGACCAGGCACAAGGATTTCCCAACATTTCTGCACCTAGTTTTAAAAAGGAAATGCAGTTTTCCTGTCACTTTTCATGAGTAAGCAAACAAAAGTTCACCAAGTGTTATTTATTTTTTAAAAAAACCCTCAATATCCGTGGAAATGGAAAAACACTTAACACTACGCATATAGCCTGTACTGTCAGCATTGCTTATTATGGATGTAACTCTCCATGATCTCAGACCTTTCTGGTTTCCCAGTTCTGTCACCAAAGATGCTTTTTAGGTTCGTGACGGAATGGGAGGCCTTCTGCATTCAAGGCATACACTCTTCAAATGAACAATTTTTTCTTATTCAGAAGAGATACATATAAAAATAACTCTTCAGTCTTTACCACCAGATGAAGGTAAAGCAGCAGCAACCAAACATTCCTGCATCATTCCTAAATCCAGAACCACCTGAGAGCCCCTTTGGCTACCAACTATCACTGATGGATGTTCACTGGCATGTTTGAATGCCAGAAAGAGGGGCTAGTTCGTGTACTGATGGAATCCATGAGGTGTTATTTCTGAAGTGGGATTAATTTGTTTTTATAAAAAAATAATTTGATTTTTTAAAAGGTATAAACATGTAACAAAAAACAATTCCAAATCCAAATACTGAGATTACTCTGAATCTCCTGACTTCCCCCCATCCCTTCCATGGGTCCTAATGATGATATTTACAACTGTGTATCAATACTTACCCAAATTTTTGTCCTTCTAAATTATCCATACTTTCTGTTACTTTACAAGTGTGATTAAAATTTTGCCAATGTTTTAACTTGCTTACAGTGGTCTCGTGAATAAGCTATAAACTTTCCCCATTCTTCTTGTCTCGATTTCTGAGCTTCCCAGTTAAATTTTTGCCATTTCGGCAAGTCAACACTCATTCTTGAGCTTTTCCATGACTACCTTCACGTTTCATGCTTACTATCTGACTGCCTGTAAGACACCCTGAATTTGCGAAAACCCTCCTCCAAGCCAACATCGGGAAGGATTTTGAAGGCAACTCTCCAAGCTCCTCACTCTCGCCGACACACACAAGCTCCGGTTCGACCCTTTCTAAGGCACAGCCGGCGTGGGAGGAAGGCAGGTCCAGCTCTACGCCCAAACCGAAGACAAGCGACTGCCTCATCCAGCTGATTTCAAAGGGTCTCATTTTCGCGCAGCTGACCCCCCCCCCCAAAAAAAGCGGCGCGAAGGAGCGAAACGGCCCTCAACTCGTCGCGCCACGAGCCTCGGCAGTCCCACCCTTGCCCTCTTACCTCCACCATGGTGCCAGCCTCCTCAGTTACAACCACCTGGTCATTCAGCGAAAACCGCGGCAAAACCGACGCCGAACGCAGGCCCGTTAGCAAGAAGGCGCCACTTCCGGCGCTTTGCCTTCGCCGCGCCGGAACTGACGCGCTGTTCCCTCTGCCGCGCCTGCGCGGAGCAGTGTTTAGGGCGGAACCTCTTCGGTTCCACTCAGTGCCGGGCGCTCGCTTGATGGCGTCGCCGGAGGGCTGCCCGCTCGAAACGGGAACCCCGCACGTAGCAAAGGGGGCTGAGAGCCGGAGAGAGATGAATTGATGGCTCAAGACAGTGTGGCGGCAGCCTCACGCCCTTGCCGTATGTGCCTGGCTAGAGAGCGAGTCCCCGTGGGACTTCCAGGGAAGCGCGTGAGAAGGATGCGCTTCAAACCCCCGTGTTTCTGTTTCTCTTCCCATTAGCCATTCTCACAGAAACACCTACGGGGCGTCACGCCATCCAGTGATTTTATAATCAGGAGCTCGGAGGTTTGTGAACAAAAATGCTCTGAAATTGAAAGCCACAGAGCCATAGGACCATTGCTAACATTATTATTATTGTTGTTATTGTTCTTAATTAAATTTGTATATCGCCCTTTATCAGAGTGGTTCACAACATAAAAATGAAAAAGACAAAATACGTAATAAAAACAAGAATAACACCCCCCTCCCACTCAAACACACATTTGATCATTGTTATTATTTACTCATCTGAAATATATTTTGGTGTGATCCAGGAATCAGTTCCGTTTGAGTAAGGCTGCAGAACGCGATTGGAGTGCCAGGGTAAGGTATCAGATTGATTTTCCTGTGTTACCTGACTAACTGAAGCTGCAGTCCTTTGGAATAATCCCTTTAAATTTAGTGGGAAGTAAGGCTACTCCAATCCATGTACAGTGGTACCTCGGGTTACTGACGCTTCAGGTTACAAACTCCACTAACCCAGAAATAGTATCTTGGCTTAAGAACTTTGCTTCAGGATGAGAACAGAAATCGTGCTCCGGAGGCGCGGCGGCAGCAGGAGAACCCATTAGCTAAAGTGGTGCTTCAGGTTAAGAACAGTTTCAGGTTAAGAACGGACCTCCAGAATGAATTAAGTTCTTAACCTGAGGTATCACTCTACGTCAGTGATGCTGGATAGTTGTCCAAAGGCATTAAACTGTGGCGGTGTTAGGAAGTAACCAGGGAAGAGCTGTGGTTCAGCAGTTAAGCACATCCTTAGCATGCAAAAGGTACTCATTGGATGGACGGATAAAACCCGTGGAAAGCAGTTGCCAGTCAATGCAGATGGTACTGACCCAGGTGGACCAATGGTCTGACTTGGCATAACACAGCTTCCTATGAATGCTATATGACTATCCCTGTGCTGAAACTACCAGAATGCACTACAGCAGTTCAAATGCCACCTTTATTTATATCATGGGTGAGGAACATTTTCCATATCGAGGGCTGCATTCACTTCTGGTATAGTAACATATTTTAATTTTCCCTGGGTCACTGCAGTAATTTATTGTTTGTGGATTTTTACTTATTTTTGCTGTTTTAAATCATTTTATTTGTTTCTACCTTTGTGTAGTAAATAAATTAAGTTCTGAGAGGTCGTACCTGTTAGCACTGCTGCTTGCTCTGCAGAAATGGTGGCAACTCTATTCTTGCCCACTAAGTTTTTTCTGACGCCGCTACTGAATAAAGCTTAAAGCAAATTTGTGAAAATAAAAATGGGAATATTGTGCTCAAGGCAGCACCCATACCGTCAAGATACACTGAATATAATGAATTGCAAAAGTGGCTGTGGAATGTATGTGCGTGCGTGTGTACAGTATTGTGTAATAATTATTGTAAAACTGAGTTCCACTACATCTGTGGACAAGTTTAATCGGATGGCTTCAGTTATGTTTTGTACCTCAGAGGGCACTAAGTGTAGTTACAGATTCTGAACAGAAGAGTGCGTGAGTTAGCTTTTCATTGACCTCAAGAAAAAGATTCTGTTTTTTTAACATTAGAAATCTGGCAAGATTTACTTGGCTCTGATATTATACATACTTATCTGTGAGTAAGCCCCAATGAATTCAATGTGGTTTACTTCTGAGCAAGCATGCATGCTGCCAGGCATGTATGTGTAGAAATGCAGCTGCACTGTTTCTAAAAAAGATCCTTGGTTGCCCTTAGAGCTAGAGATAGCCAAGATTCAAATTCCTGCCAAGAAGTTTCAAAAAACAAACAAATCCCAGATCGTATCAGATTATAGTTTCTTCCAAATATTTTTACAGCTAACTATTTTGGATATGGACAGAAGTCTTTTAAATTGTTTGTTTATTCGTTTGATGAGTCCCACTTTTCTGGAGAGCTTTCAGAGCTTTTTTTTAATTGTTTAGTTCAAGTTCCATGCTAAATTTCACAACCGGGTTAAGTCAGCTGATGAAAATAAACAGGAAGCACCCCACACATTAATCTTTAAAAGTGTGTGTGTGTACTTGCTTGCTTCCAGCATATTGTCATGATGTATTCTCACTTACGAGAAACTACTACAAATATTTGTTGCCTTCAGACTACAATTTGAGAGGGTCAGAGAGAGATTTCATGTTTGCATTGCTCTTTTAAAAGACAGAGTAGGTTTGCAACCCTGCTTGGGGGAAAAGGACATTTCTAAATAAGTTAACAACCAGTAAAGAGCCCCCTCTTGCACAAACACAGTGGCTTATCTGTGGCCTACTCATAGAATTCTGCAGAGCTGCACACAGACATATCATTTGATCTGAGAGTCACTAACTAGTGGCCTTGGCTTATCAGTCAAAGCAGCGCATTGCACCATGACTGAACAAACCAACAAGGCAAACGATGCAGTTTAGGGTCTCTGTTCTCCACTGTCCAAATATATAGGTAAATAAGAGGAAAGCCTAGGAAAAGGAGAAATGTCAGCCAACATTTTCTTGTTTTAAGAAAAACTCGTTACCTCCACCTCTTGAGCTAAAAGAATCTGCTACACATTCTCTCTCAGTAGAATGAATTACTGTACCTTCCAATAATTGCTAAGATGGTCGTTTTCCTGCCTCATCAAAAAAAGAAAAAGCAACATACTTCATAACAGTTCAAGGAAATGAACATACTGTGTCACCTATTTGCCATATTTGAACAACAAGGACTTGCAAAGAGAGGTTCTCGGTGTTGCCCTAAAATTGTGTAATTTCCATCCCATAGATATTCAAGGCTTGAACATAATCATTTTCAAGAAGTGCTGGGAGACATTTTTATTTGGTCTGGCTTTTAATGGCTATAGCCAGAGTTAATGGTGGTGGTTTTTATTTGCCTTAGTGGGAGCGGGGTTAGGTGGATTTGTGGGACATTTGTATTCACTACTCCATTTCCACATACTCCTAGGCTGAGACAAGCCAATAAATAATAGATAAATTTGTTCAGGAATGGGTGTCCCAAAGTCTGAGCTTCAACAACTCTGGTCCTGGGAGTAAGTCCTATTGAACTCTCAGTGAGACTTCCAAGTATAGCACAATTTTGTATGGCTATACATTTGCTAAATAGTGTTAAATATCTCCAGATAGTCAAGTTTTCAGCTATATACACACTTCTGCTTATCCTGTGTGCTCCAACTGCTGTTCTGGGAAGCGGTATTTACACAACATTATGACATAAGAAGAGCCTGCTGGATCAGGCCAATGACCCATCTAGTCCAGCATTCTGTTCTCACATGGGCCAACTAGATGCCTTTGGGAAGCTTGCAAACAGGATTTGACCTCAAGAGCCCTCTTCTGAAGTTCCCAGCAGCTGTTATTCTATCAACTGGTATTCTAGCAACTACAGTTGTACCTTGGATCCCGAACGACTTGTGAGTCAAACGTTTTGGCTCCCGAACACCACAATCCCGGAAGTGAGTGTTCCGGTTTGTTCTTTGGAACCCGGATGTCCGACACAGCTTCCTGTTGGCTGTAGGGGCTTCCAGCAGCCAATCAGAAGCTGCGCCTTTATTTCTGAATGCTTTGGAAGCTGAACGGACTTCCAGAATGGATTCCGTTTGACTTCCAAGGTATGACTATACTCATGGATATTTCTGAGGGCTTAGAGTTACCGCTGGCAGTTCTTTCAGTAATAGTAGTCAAGATTAGGCCCCAAAGTATGTCCACTGGTAGGACAGAGACCGTCTCTGTATGTTTGTTGGGCCCCAGGATCAGACTTCCTGAAGCTGGCATAACTTACATAGAAGCTACCACATGCAGAGTCAGACCGTCAGTCCATCTGGCTCATCTGCACTGCCTGGCAATGGCTCTCCCAAGTTTTAAGGCAGGGCTATTTCCCACACTTTCCTGGAGATACTAGGATCTTCACCATGCAAGGCCAGTGCTATACCATTGAGCTATGGCCATTCTCCAAGTAGAGCCATGTCAGGAAAAAAGGAGATAAGTCACACATGTATCTCCTGTGCTGGCTGGATTGCAGCAGGGATACCCCTCAATCTCGCTTAGATAGGCACTGTTAGAAGGGAGATGATAGATGCTTATAAAACTTTGTTTGGCGTGGAGAGAGCTTGAGGTAGTATGCAACTAATAAGCTTAAATAAAAATCGTCATCTGGTTAATCCGGTTGATGATGTACCACATCAAAGATTTGCACAAGCTCTTCTCATTGTGTAAGCATTCAAAGCTGCTAATCTGTTGCACAGTGAGACTTAAGGTTGAAGAATAAATTGCACTTTTTAAAATGGAGATGACGTGGCTTAGGATGGGCAGCATGCAATGCCATTTGAAGACCAGGTTAGCATTTACAAAGTATGAAAAATATCCAAAACCACAGAAAGGGTATGTAAAATTACAGTAACAGACTTGAAAACTACATGTGAGTAAAGGAAAGACCAACTCCATAGGAATTAATAGGGCATAAAAAGGGACCCCTGACCATTAGGTCATAGTCACATCAAATAACTCTCCCTATTGATTTCAATGGGACTTAAAGGATGACATTTAACTTTCTTTAGATCTGAGACAATGTAGTTATACATAGCTTTGGGTCAGGGTTGCTGAGACCTGAAGAGTGAAAAGGAGACGAAGGAACAAGACTATCAAGACCCTGATTACAGTTGCAAACACTGCTAGTCTGTTTTCTTTACCCAATTTCTTACAACTACAACATTTTTAATTTCCGCAAATGAACAGGGCTATATTTAAATGACACCTATTTGTCCTTCCTTGAAGATGGTACATAGCAAAAGATGTTGCTCAACTGGAGACTTTGTCCAGGCACAAACTCTGAACATTTAGGTTAAATATTAACAGTGTGTGGGATGGCAGACCTATCATTAACCGGCTAAGATACTTCAGGTTGATTCATTTATATATGATCACTGACTTGCTTTCTCTGATTTTACAGAGGGGAGGAAAGCTGCTAAGATGCTCATGCAATCCAAAATCATGAAACTACTGTTGCTTTTTCTCCTTTCTGTTGTTGTCGTTGTTAAATCCCAGGCTGCTGTTGACTATGATGATGAAGAGGAGGTTAGAATATAAAGGTTTTTTAAATAATAATAATAATAATAATAATAATAATAATGTGTTCGCATTTTTGGTTTAGATTTCAGAAAATAGAGGCAAAACCTAATACCGTTTTATTTGCATTAAGGAAATAATAATTTGTAAATTAAACATGTAGGAAAGAAGGGTTGAATTCTTGAGTTATGTGTAATTAATGCTGATCCTTTTCCCTTCTTTCTTCCCTTTTCCTTTATATAGGTAACCACAACCGCAGCTCCGGTAAGACCGAGTTTTCTTCTTAATTAAAGAAAAACAAACCACATAGTGGTTACAATTATGGATTCCGTTCCAGAAACTTACATATTTGCTTATAATTTGCTGTCAAATAATTGTGTGTGTGAAAAAAATGCACTTACCTCCAATTTAAGAATTTATTTAATATTGCCATTCCAGAAACATTTATCATTCATTTCTTGAAATAAAGCTGGCGGGTGGGGTGAGGAAAGCCTGCTGGTCCTCATGGGATTATTCAGGTATAGTTTGACTGTTTCCACATAAGATACTGAAAAGGACATGATACCATCAGGGGGAAGAAAATTTCTCTAACATGACAATTCAATAGCACATGAACTTTGTCTATGGGAACACTGTCACCTTTTGTGAATTCAGTTAATCTTTTGAATGAAGTTCAATGGGTAATTATTTGTATTGTAATATATTATCTCATTTTATCTTAAAATTGATTTTTGCCTTCCATTGCCTTTGGATTCATTTTTTCTCAGGTTTTGTTCATTTCATTGGGATGTTAGGTTAGGAATATCTAAGGGATATTAGCCCTATTCCTTATGCATCTTTATGTATTTGTAAGCACAAAAACTCATAATTGTTAGGACCAAACTGCACCTTTCAATGCAGTTTTTTCCAATTAAAAAATATGCTGGGAAGGGTGCATGTCCAAGCAAAGAATAAATAGGCAGCCATTTCTCTATCTGCTGTTATTCTCCAGATCACATGCTAAGTGATTTCCCCATCCCTTAATGGGTTTCAAAAGAATGTCAAATATATTGAAGAATTTACTTGCCTCCAACCACAGATTTCTGCATACAGTTTTATTCTGAGCTTCCTTGATGACCCCTGTGCCCCCCGCTCCAGTCCAAAATACTAGAGCAGGCCTGGTTTGTTCATAATACCAACCCATGGTTTATTAAACCATGACTTAGTATTACACATAAACCCTGCCCAGTGCTTAACTGTGCTTTATTAACTGCCAACAAACCACAATCTGAAGCCATGGTTTGTTGTTGGCTTACAAACCTTAGTTTGTTTTAACTATGGCTTGGCGTTACATGTGAACCTACCAGCTTTATTTATTCAATTTCCATCCTGCCATTCCTGCCAAAGGAGCCCAGATGGAACATGACAAAGCAGCAAAACAGTACAGGTTAAAGAAAAATAAGTAAAATAGATGAAAACATTTTAAACCATGAAGAACATATGGAAAAACTTTAAAAATATGCAGCCCCAGCCCCTCCCCAAACTACACAGGAGAGAGCAACTGGAAAATGAGCAAAACTTTGGAGGAATAAATACTTCGGTAGATGCACAACATATTCTTTTTATAATGTAAATTGTTTGCAGATTATAACAGTAACAGGATTATTTATCCTCCCACTGCCGTCGGTGAACAGGTTGACGGCGATGGAGTAGATGCACGAGGTCACAGGCCACTGAACAAAAAACGGGAGCCATATCCAACTCTCCGTCCAGCTCCTCTTCCTCCCAGTAGTGGCTTTCGATATCGGGCTCGTCCAGCTAAACCACCTGTGGCTGGCCGAAAAAGAGAGCAGATTGTATTCCCTGACCATGGAGGCTGCAAACATATGTCGGAAGAGCTGGTAGGTTTATGTGCATTACTAGTGTGGTGGGACGATAATTCTTAAGAGCAAGTAGCAGGTTTCATCCTGTTTGATAAGGCTACCTCTTGGAAGCACTTCGGTGGGAAAGTATATGTGCTATTAGTCCATTTCTTGTTGGTTTGCTTTGGGCTGTAATCCTGATATTTCAAAAATTACAAACATGCACTGCTGGAGAGCTTGCTTCAGAGCTACTTTGCCGGGTCTATAGTGAAACATCTGTGTGGCCATCAGGTATTTATATGGCACCTGCTTTTAAACAATAGCTATTTTAATGGTTTAAGAACTCATCTTGTTTACACATCATAACACAGACATTCTGTTCTTTATCTCTCCCAATTACTAGCCATCTGTTATGACAAAACCAGCTACAAATGTGTGGCTGGCCAATTAATTGATTTGTTAGCACCTACTTTGTATGCCCGATCCGTATATGCCTGAAATTCTGTGGAGGTAACCTTCTTGTGATTCAATTCCATATCACTCATGGTCATGTATGAATTAAGCAATCAGATAGACAGGGCCAATTATGTCTCTCTCTCTTTTTTACCCATTCAGAACTCCATGCACACCCACACCCAAGCACTATGGGATGGCATCGCTACTTGCATAATTTTTTTAAAAAGCATGCACATTGAATTTAAAAAATGTACTTAATGTCATGTTAGCTCTAACCTACTGCATTCAATCGCATTGTGTTTGTGTGTGTGCGCTTTTTAAAGGGAGTCTTATGCCCAACTGGATGTGAGCTGCGGACTGCGCTGCTGAAACAGGAAAGGACGGTGAAGCCAACTGTGCAGGATCTAACAGACAAAGTGCAGAAGCTAGAGCAGTCCACTTCAACTATATATTCTTATACCCATCTGCTGGATGAGAGGCTAGCAAAGAAACAGAAACAAGTACTAGGTAAACTAAACCCTGCTATTGTTATTTATCACTTGCTGCAAATCAATACATAGGCAAAACTGCCTTGCTCTGGGTATCCTGAAAGGCTTCTTAAGAAAGATGGATGATAATAATGACCACCAGAGGGCACATTCGTGACCACACTCAAAAATGTGGTGGGACAGCAGAATGCTTTAAAAAAAAATTTCAGTTCTTACCTTTATGTATTAGTTATATTTTTGTAATTGGGTATCTCAAGGTGACTTACACAACAAAAATAGAAAAAAAGGAGAGACATTAAAATTATACATAAAAATAGCATTAAATGAAAACTTAAACACTGCTGTCTATTTTGAATAGATTTATATTGGGATTGGAATGTAAGAACCATGTGTGAAAATGACACATTTAGCAGTATGGCAGTTTGATCATATCAGCCAGCCATCAATCCCTAATCAGGGTAATACTTCCTGACTCTCGTGCTGAACCAGATAGGCAGATGTCATCTACAAACATCTGAAGTGCTTGTCCAGGAGATAAAGCAGAAGTCAAATCTTGATCATGGCTTATAACATATTAGTATTTATTATTTCTATTGTACCCTCCATATATATGCGGCTAAGTCCTACTCCTCCTGCCAACCTAGCAGTTCGAAAGCACGTCAAAGTGCAAGTAGATAAATAGGTACCGCTCTGGCAGGAAGGTAAACTGCGTTTCCGTGCGCTGCTCTGGTTCGCCAGAAGCGGCTTAGTCATGCTGGCCACATGACCCGGAAGCTGTACGCCGGCTCCCTCGGCCAATAAAGTCAGATGAGCGCCGCAACCCCAGAGTCGTCTGTGACTGGACTTAACTGTCAGGGGTTCCTTTACCTTTAAGTACTACTCAGAGTAGATTCGTTGAAATTAATGAACCTAAATTGGTCGTGTCCATTAACTTCAGTGGGTCTACTCTGGATAAGTGTTATTAACACTGATGCTGTTTTACAAAGAATGAGAGGTCAGTTCTCTGCCTCAAGGCGCTTCCAATCTAAAGAAATGCACAAAGGATGCAGCAGAGGAATGCGAGGGCAGTGGGAGTCAGTGTCGGATTACTAGCCTATTGGGTGAAAAAAGTCTACTGTGTATTATGTACTGACACAATAAATGCTCTTTTATTCTGTTAGCAGTTTTTTAAAAAAAGTATAGATGAATTTGTTTTTCCCCCCAGATAACCAGAATGTAATTTCTCAATACAACAAGGAGGTTGAAGAGCACTACACTTTCATCAAAGATAACCTAGACAACAACATCCCAACTAACCTGCGACTTCTTCGTTCAGTTGTGGATAGTTTGCAAAAGAAAATACAAGAGCTGCAAAAAACTGTCACTTCTCAGTTGCAAGAATGTCGCACTCCCTGTACTGTTTCATGCAATATACCTGTGGTGTCGGGCAAAGGTAATCTCTCTCTTCCCTGACTTGTTTTGCTCCATAGTTTGACAGGTGCAGAGGCAGCCTTGAGGGTGCCACTGGTGCATTCACAGAGAACCTTACACCGCACTGTCATCTCCAATGAGGCATCTCTTGTGACCACCAAATAATGAGCAGGGCAATCTGACCCCCAGTTATAGCTTCTGTGTCCATTGTGGCTGGTGATGGTCTGGCTACAGCAGCCCTGTAACTTCATCCCAAGGTCTATGACAGTGACAGGGAATATGTGGTCCTCCAGTTGTTGTTGGATTCTCAGATCCCATCATCCCTGACCAGCATGGTCAGGGATGATGGAAGTTGTAGTCCAGCAATGTCTGGAGAGCTGCAGGTTCCACATTCTTGGCCTAAGGCCAACTTGCCTGCTGTTCTCCTCTCCTTCCTTTCTTCCCAATTGGTTGATGGCCCTCGTGGTAATTGGTTCACTGACATGCCGGCTTAAGCTAATGAAAATCTCTTATTACCTCATTCTACTGAGGGAACCTTGTATTTTAACAAAATGGGTGGAGGAAAGACTTTTCACATCAGTAGGATCCCCAAAAGTATTGGGTGTGGACCCTAAACACAAAGACCCTATGAAAACTCCATGTTTGAGGGATGTGAGTGGGACAGAACAGGTACTCAATTTAATTCATCCTTTAGAAAGAAAGTGGGAGGCGGTAAACAGTTTTACGCCAGTGCGTAATTGGTTCTGCTAATACCAGGCTATTGAGGGGAGGAAAAGATTTTTGTAGCTTGCTCAGCAATATATATCATGGCTTTCTGATTGCAGAGTGCGAAGACATAATTCGGAAAGGAGGTGAAACATCTGAGATGTATCTTGTCCAACCGGATCCTTTTTTCAAACCATACAGAGTTTATTGTGACATGAAAACGGACAATGGAGGTGAGTTGGGCCAGTGCCCCACAGGAGCTCCTTGGTGATTTCCAGGACCCCTTGCCCTTCCCCATCTGTGCTGCTACTTCCTGTTCATCTGCCCCTTCCAGGATGCAAACAGAGATAAGAGCAAGGTGAGGCAACTGTAGCCTCCACTTGCCTTCTAGGCAGTGGTGTGGGTTGGTCCCAGAGGGAGAGAACAAGTCCAAGTGACAGTGGCAAGGAGAGAGGGAAGGCTATTCAGGGAGAAGACTCATTGAAGCTGCCCATTTGAAGCTGCTACTATGTTGAGTAAAGAGAACCAAAAGAGTGGCAAAGAAATTTGCACCAACTGTATTACACCTGCAGCTTTTGCGTTAACAAGAAAACAGTTACAGCCTGTCAACTTAACTTTGAAATTAAGTATTTGGTAGTTAAGTATGATGCACATTCTCTCAAACTACAGCTGGAATTCAATTCTGAGAAGATTCCCTAACCCACCCCAGTAGCCTCTGTGTTATGGATACTATCACATCAAAGTTTAGCACTTTGAAATCTCATGTGCCGCCCTTGATGTGAACATATATTTTTAGAGTATAGTTGCATATTTTGGTATTAAATATCCTGCCCATCTCGAGATGGGCAAGGTAAAAAATCTCAGGTTATAATCCAGAGAGTGGGCATCTGACCCCATGAGAAATCAGTTGCTAAAATCTCATTATTTCTAAGAGGTATTGTTCTGTTACACAAGCAATGATCCACTGACAAGTTCTGCTATTGAAATGATATGAGAATGTCCAAATAGACAGTGCATGTCCTTTAGATAGAGGTGCAGCTATTTATTTTACTGAAGTCTTCTATATACCAGTACATTCAGACACACTGAGACACAAATTACTGAGGCCATATTGATGATACACTAAAATGACCTGTGCCAGCATTTTTCTTCTTCTTCTTTCCTTTGTTTTGGTTAATGACTGGTGATTTTTGCATCCTTTTACCTTTTCCAGGCTGGCTTCTTATTCAAAACCGCCAAGATGGCAGTGTTAACTTTGGAAGAACATGGGATTCCTATAAAAAGGGGTTTGGAAATGTTGCATCCAGTGGTGGAAAGAACTATTGTGACACCCCTGGTAAGAATCTTGACTCTGAGCAGCTTCTTATTAATGGAACTATTATCAGTTGCTTTGGCTGGTGAAGAATGTGAGAGGACATATTGCAACTTGAGAGTTGCATGACTTCTTAGTGGTAGAGCATCTGCTTTGTACGTGGAAGGCTTCAAGTTCATTCTCCAGCTTCTCTGGGTAGGGTAGGGGGAGTCCCCTGCCAAAAACCCTGGACAGAGGCTGCCAATCAGTGTAGACAGCACTGAGCAAAGTGGGTCAATAATCCCACTCGGTATAATGTATCTTCCTATGTACTTGCAGCTACATGGATCAAGTGGCTGTGTTAATGAATCATCATTACAACATTTCTCAAAGTTGAGTCTCCAGCTGTTATTGGACTATAGCTCCCATCATCCCTAGCTAGCAGGACCAGTGGTCAGGGATGATGGGAGTTGTAGTCCAACAACAACTGGAGACCCAGATTTGATAAACACTGCCACCTTAATGCCTGCCACTTTTGACTACCTTTGCTTCCTTTTTGTATCGATGCATAAAGTTTGTACAGCAAAACAGTGTCAAGAAGTGTTTTCTGTAGCTGCCTTAACAGTCTCTGAACTTTCCTCTTACATAAATCAATAAAAGACTGATGGTTGCATTGGAGTGATTAGAAGAGCAGGGATAAGCAAGATTTCTCTGTTTCTGTTGTTAAAAAAAAATGACATATGGTTTTAACTCATTGTCCAGCTAGGTGTTCTCATAATTCTTGGAACTGCCTTGTTTGGTTCAGGTTTTACAGATTTAGGACAAAGAATAGATTCCTTAAAACCCCTTCTGAAGATCTCTTTAGCCAATGTGTTTTCATTATCCCACAGGTGAATATTGGCTCGGAAATGACAAAATCAGCCAGCTTACCAAAATGGGACCCACTGAACTTCTAATCGAACTGGAAGACTGGAATGGTGATAAGGTTAAAGCACACTATGGAGGATTCAGCATTCAGGGGGAAGCAAACAAGTATCAGCTCTCAGTTAGTAACTACAGGGGCACAGCTGGAAACGCCTTGTTAGAAGGAGCCTCGCAGCTGTATGGCGAAAACCGAACCATGACAATCCACAATAGCATGTTCTTCAGCACTTTCGACAGAGACAATGATGGCTGGTATGTGTATGCGTTTGCACTTGGTTTGCTACTGTACTCTGGCACACACATTTGGGACACATGTGGGTATGACTAAAGAGGAATTGTTTCCTTTGCAACTCTTGATGTTGCACGACTGCATCCTGTTGGGCTGACATAGTTTATTACCATTGCAATAAATGAACACCGATGGCTGATGGGCACACAGATGCATCTGTCAGGCTTTGGGGGGGCGTATTTCTAATTCAGGGGGAGCTACTTTTGATTAGACATGTATAGGATCATGCTGTCAGGCTGGAACAGATTATAAAAAGTATCCTAGTGTTAAGAGTTATAAGCTATATAATTTATATAAGTCATCATTCGGAGAACCATAGGATGATCTCCTGGGTGATTAATAGAGATTACTTTGTCCAAGGAAGATACAGCTATTACTGGGTGCACAATTACATTTATTATGGTTGTAATTATCATTACTATTACTATTAATTTAAATCTATTACCCACCCTTCACCAGGGCACTTTAAAATTCAGAATTGAAAACAGTTAATAACATAAATTAATATATGTTGGATTTGCAGATTATGCATTTACTTTTTTATTGGTGCATGTAAAATATACCTTTTGTATATTTCACCCCGCAGGCCAAATCCAGACCCAAAGAAACAGTGTTCCAAAGAAGACGGTGGTGGTTGGTGGTACAATCGTTGCCATTCCGCCAATCCAAATGGCAGATACTACTGGGGTGGGCATTATACCTCAGAAATGGCAAAACACGGAACAGATGATGGCATGGTATGGATGAATTGGAAAGGGTCCTGGCATTCACTGAAGAAAGCCAGCATGAAGATTAGACCAATCATCCAAGAATAGTGATGGTTATTTAAATAAACAGTGGCATTTTTTGTGTGCTCATATCTGTTTCATGATATATTTGAGCCTAACTTTGCATTAAAACATTAACCGGCAAACACACGCACTCTGCCATGTTTATGTTGGTTAAATGCGCTGTGAATAAAAGCAGGAGTGTTATACAGGCAATTCGCATCTTACACTTATTTTACTTATGTGATCACAGCTTTGTGCAGATGGGGATGGGAGGGAAATAAATAAAGGGAGAGGGGAAGAAAACCCACTCTCCATTTATTTCCCTTCCCCGAAGGTGAGCAAGGTTCCAAGCTTTGGGAATTTGCAGGAGAGCTCGGGGACACTGACAGAACCTTTGCACAACCTTCCCAAAGCCAAGTAAGAAACCCTCCACCTTGCAGGGGTGGTAGTTCCAGGGGTTCCTGGCTTGGATTAACCTCATTGAAATAGTTTGCAAACATCATGTGATACATTTGTGACAGATAGGCAACACAAAAACCTTTTGAATACCTCATACTTCCTCTATAGTATTGACATTTTCTGCTCCAATAACTTCATTTCTTTATTACAGGATTTCTTACACATACCTTCGACCTTAAGGTCCCAGGGCAAGTTGCAAGACCGTCACACGGTTTAAAATAAGATAAAAGGATTTACATGAAAATCTAATACAATTTTAAGTATTCTATAATTTAAATCACACCTCACAGCTGTCAAAGGCCAGGGTAATGAGCTGCGAAAAAAGCTGTACTGTAAAGAAGCCAGCTGCATCTTTGTGTGGAGGGAATTCCACAACTTCTCCATTCAAAAGTAGATTCAAAGTAGATTCAAAGTGAGGAAATGAGTTCTTGTCTCAAATTCTGTGGGAAAAGCTTCACAACGTAAGAGGTCCTGCTGGATTTGTTCAGTGTTCCGTTGAGTCCAGCATTCTTTTCCCAGAAGTCAGCCAGAGGCTTCTGGGAAGCAAACTGAGCTGGTGTGTTAATTAAATAAATAAATGGGTGCTTAACTCACCTTGATGCTTTTTCAGCTGGGTCTCCCTGCTTGCAGACATCTGATAGGCACCTGATGGCCACTCTGATAACAGGATACCGGGCTAGATGGGCCACTGGCCTGATCCAGCAGAGATCCTATTATGTTTCTGTGTTTGGCGACAGAGGTATACTGTCTCTGAACACGGGTGTGTAAACTGTCCTGTGGTCTCTTGATGAAGGGCAGTATATAAATTTAATAAATGATAGTAATAAAAAAAATTCCAGTAAGTGATTTTTCTTTACTTTTATTATTTTGTCTTCAAGCTACTTTTTACCCAACTTCCTTTTAATCACCTGAGACCAGAACCACTCTTGCACAGTTTGCACTAAAAATGTCTAATGCACATCAGGACATTTTGAATGTGACCTCGCTGAAGTGTATTGTCACCAAACAGTTAACATTTGTCCGGTTAGACATTTCCCTGCAGAAGTCTGCCTTTCCTGACAAAACAGGGCTGTGGCTATAATTATGCAACGCAGCTAACAAGAAACAATTGATACTGGGCTATAAATGCTTTCTCTGGTTGACTACAAAACAAGAGTCCTTTTAGTTCACAGCCCCCTGTTCAGTATGTCCTTGCCCTCTAGCTATGTGGGGCCCTCCAAATAGCCAATGGTCAGGGATGTTGGAAATTGTAGTCAAACAACACCTGAAGGGCACCACATCGGCTACCCCAGGCTAAGAACTTGCAGATGTGTTTTTATCCTTGTCACCGGTAGTTGTACTAAGAGAGAGGTCACCAGCTTTTTTGGTCCAGCGGCACATTTTGAATATTGAGCAAGTGCTATGGATGTCAATCACAAAATAACTGCCATGGGGTGTGGCATAACACAAAATGGCTGCCATGGAAGGTGCATGGCAGAATACAAAATGGCTGCCATCGGAGGATGGCATAACACAAAATTAGAGAGAGAGAGTGGGCATTGCTGTTCCTATGAGATTGAAAATGGGGTGGTCTGGGTACCCTTCAAGCCCTCTGATTACTCTCTCAAAGTTGTTAGCATGGTGTAGTGGTTAAGAGCAGTAGACTCGTAATCTGGTGAACCAGGTTCATGTCCCCGCTCCTCCACATGCAGCTGCTGGGTGACCTTAGGTCAGTCACACTTCTCTGAAGTCTCTCAGCCCCACTCACCTCACAGAGTGTTTGTTGTGGGGGAGGAAGGGAAAGGAGAATGTTAGCCGCTTTGAGACTCCTTCGGGTAGTGATAAAGCGGGATATCAAATCCAAACTCTTCTTCTTCCCACCACGCCACCCTGGAAACCTCATGCTTAGCCTGAGAAGTCAGCCACATCCTCCTGATGCCAACTATGGGGATCACACAATATTGATTCTACATCCATATATACCCAGATGCTGTTGCCATTTAACAACACCAAGGATCATTCCCCAGTACCAGAAAAAATATGCAAGGTGACCACACCACACTTCCTCGCTTACACACACAGTACGCACAAGCACTCGCCACACACAGACCAGTCACCCACTTCACATAAGCATCTTTCCTCGCTCTCTCTGCTCAAGTGCACCTCTCTCACAGAGATCATACGCTCGCAGAGACCTCCCCATTCTCTCTCTCTCACACACTGCATATTTCCCCTCACATGTTAACTTTCTAAATACAGAGAGTTTCTGATGTCGGGGAGTATTGAGCTATTTGATTCTCCCATCTTCATTTTTAACTGATAAGAGATCCTGGAGAAGCTTTTTCTATTTAAGTGTATTGGTGGATCAACATAGATGCTCCTATAATTGTCTGGCTAGCAAGCATGGGATATCACTAATGGGAGCCTTTTTACTAATGCTATTTGCAGTGCATTGGGTGAATTTTTCAGGCCTATTGCCAGGGATGGGAGGGTTATGTATCTCCTCATGCTGCAGTCCCAATGGCTGGTGGTAAATAATAAAAACCAGACATGGCTGGTGACTGGGCAATTAAAGTAACATCTATTTTGTCCCTTAAAAGGCTTCTCTTCCAACATTTAGAGACCAGGGATCAACTCCATTTGTTCTACAGCTGCTTTTAATTCTGTTTTGATCGCCTCAGCCTTGCTTTCACCAAACTAATTTATATAGTTCAAAACAAATCCACCTTTGAAAGTTATTCTATTATTAGTAAATTAACTGACTAGGCAATGCATGGCAAATGGGCTTGTAAACCCTCATCTATTGTTGTTTCAGGCCTGATTACTGCATGGAGAGTGGGGTGGGGGGCAATATTTATGAAGATGGTTAACCCTCCCCTCCTCGGCTGTGGTCTTCATTAAGACCACCACCTCTCCAGCAACTAAGCTTGAAAAAAGCTGTGGGAGAAAAGGGAAATTTACAGATATGCCTCTGCACACACTGGTTTTCTTGATTGTTGTATTGATGAAGACACTTTGCTGCTTGAGGCAAAAGAAAAGATGGTGCCCCTCCACCCCATTCCATTTTCAAAAGCCAACCAGACTGGCATCCTTCAACACTGATGATGAGGCGGCATGGGACGCCTGAGGGAAGCAGGCTAGCTTAGTGGGGGCAGGGTGCACTCATGAGCATCTGCTGACTGAGACTGCTGCCTCAGTCTCTTGAATAATAGGGTCAGCCCTGATACGTGTGCCTACTTTGTCCTTGCTTGCTTTGACCATGCCCACTTTTGTTTTGGGCCCACCCACCACTGGCATGCGAAGACCTTGGAAAGTTGGCAATGAGGGAATGAAATCCTCAGGCTGAAAAATGGTTCTCCATTTATGACTTAAATACTGTAGATTATTTTTCTTTGCTCAGCCAGTACTGGTTTTTCAAAGGAATGGTTTTGAATTTGATCTCAGTGTGTAATGTGCGTTGTTTAATACTACATTTGTTATGGAACTTTAAAGATACAAATGGCTTAACTGAGGAAGACATCCCCAACAGACATTTTATAATATTTATTTGTGCTGTTGTTTGTAAATAACTTAAACACACCAGAAATGTATTTTTGAGTGAACCCATTTATTTTATAGGCAGTTGCATTCAGTTGTTTTGGATAATAAAAAAAACGCACACACAATCAGACATACACTACATAATGATGAGGTATATATAATTTTGGAAGTTCTTGTTCTTGCTGCTTTGATATCTAGAGTGTCTCTATAGGCCGAATTTTCAATCTAACAACTTTGAGAGAGTAATCAGAGGGCTTGAAAGGCACCCAGACCACCCCATTTTCAATCTCATAGGGAGCGTTGTTCCTTGGGTCATACTGACCTCCTGAGTAGTAAATTCCATTGAGATTAGCAGCTTGGCAATTATTGTACCACCAGCCACCTCCATATATCTCAGCACAGTTCTCCTCCCATTGGTCGTTGTCTCTATCAAAAGTACTAAATTTCATGTTACTGTGTGTGGTGTATTCAACCCCATCTTCCTCTGAACCCCTGATAAGAGCATCGCCTGCTGTCCCCTCATAATCAGAGACACTGAGCCTATAGCCTTCTTCTTCAGAGCTTATGTGTATGTTATATTCTGCATAACCTTTATTGCCCTCCCAGTCCTCTACTTCGACTCGAAGGACAGTGTCCCTCTGGGTCAGGAGATGGAGATTTTCATTGCCCAACCAGAACTCTCCTTTCCCATCCACGCTGCCAAAACCATTCTTGTAGTCTTCCCAGGTCCGGTTAAAATTCAGCGCCCCATCCAATCTCTGTTGGATCAGAAGCCATCCTCCCAAAGTGGTCTCTTGGTCGCAATAAACTGAAAAAACCTTAGTGGTTCCTGCTGGCTTGATTCTGAAAATGCCACTTTGGGCACCAGAAGTGTGTTTCTGGTGGATATCCTCACAGTCTAAAAAAACAAAGTTGATCTGGTTGACAGAAGTTTTCGGTTAAGCTTTATTACAAGGTCACAGGAATCCAAACAGTAATCATGCTCAAGTCAACTGGCTACACTTAATTTGGGGCTGCAGTGGAACGAATCCTTGTACTCTCCCCCCCACCCCAAACTGATTGCTTACATGCACATTTTCATTACCCATGACATTAGGTACACAACTGCCTTGTTCTCCAATTACTCATGGCAAGAAACCATGTCCCCCACCTTTCCAAAATGGCAACCAACAGACACATTGCTCTTATTATTTAAACAATGGCATGGATTGCACTCGCTTAACCTGTGTGTCAGTTTGGTTGCACACTTCACTGCTGCTCCCTCAATAATTATTTTCCATGCAGTGGGTGGGTACCTGTCCCGGTGTAGCTTTCTCCCTGCTTCACTCCTCCTGCACTCAAGCTGCGTGCATGAAAATCAGGTCTGTCTTCTCCACTCTCGTCATGTTGCAGCTCAACTGATGGGATTTTTATTGACTTGGTTTCGAAAGTGGAGCCCCCTTTGTTGAAGCCGCTAGAACTGCGGCTGCTGCTGCTGCTGCTGCTGCTGCTGCTGCTGGATACAACCGTCCTGGAATGGGATGTGCTGCCACTTGTATGAGAATGGAAGTCGGGGGAGGGCTGGTCAAAGATGGAGAAGTCGTCGGTTTCTCCCTCCCCAAGGTCAGAGAAAACGTCGCGTCCTTCAAAGGTCGATGTGTGGCTGCCAGTCCCTGTGCTATGGATTCTGCCACCAGAACCTGAGGTGAAAAACTCTTTTGCATTCAGAGGTAGGGTAGAAAAGTCAGAGGAGCCACTTCCACCGGTCCCAGTGGTCACTCTCGTGTGGGTTGTGCCTCCTGCTTCTCTGGTTAAATCTTTAGAATGGAAACAGTCCAAACCATCAGATGTTTTATACTCTTCAACAACCTCTTCTCTGGGACCTTCAGGACCTCTGATCACTTTTCTAGTGATGGTTTTGACGCATGTACGGGAGAGACGAGACTCAGAAGGACCGACTATTTTCAAACTACTAGAGGTATCGCCTCTGCCAGAGGTATCCCCTCCAATACCAGGAGTGACTAACTTGCTAGTATGTGGTTGTCCAGCAGCCTCTGAATCTTCCAATACGACTTCAACCAGTTTGATACGATTAATGATGCCTGCTTCTTGTTCCGACAGAGGAGCAGTTTTAAAATGGCTAGGGACAGTGGAATCCTTCAGGGGTCTCATTTTCAGTACCCTCAAGGGAGCAGCTTGATATGCCGGCTGCAAGTTGATGGAGCTGGCCTGTAAAAGCAGCTTCTGTATCTTGTCATAGCTATCGGTGTCCACATTGTAGTTGACAGCTCGAGAGCAGGACCCTTTGCAGGAACGCACCTTAATATCAATGTCCACCTAGGCAGAGATGGAAAGGTGAAAATACAAATGGGAGAAAAAGAGAAGTGTGTCAGTCTGGCAAGTGTTTACAGTATTCTGGTCAACCAACCTATAAGACAAAATGCAATGTATAAAATACAAAACCACAATCTCAGTATAAATGTGCTTGCTTTGATTCCTAAGTCTGCCGAAGCTGTTGTATCCTTAAGTATTTATTGGGCTATTTTGTTTGTAAAGGAGGAATGCCACTGGGCTATTGCTGATGGCAGTTTCATCACTGCTTGCAGTGGCCCCAAAAGGTTTTGTTGTAAAACAAAGAAGCCAAACCCTCACCTATAGCAGTAAGGCATTGCTCAACAGAAAATAGTTAGAATTTGTCCAATTCCACCAGAGGTTGAGAAGAATGCCTCTTGTACTGTACTTTCACAGAAGATGGATGCCCTTGAGAAAGGGCGAGTGGGTGGAATTCAGCCCAGACAAGAATTTATTTTATTTTATTGAAAAAAATGGTTGCAGCCTACCTCTAAACGCTTCATCTCTACAACTTGGTTCCGGATGGTGTTCTGCAGCACTTTAATCCGGCTAACTTGGTCAGCGACTCTCTGCTTCAGCGTCACAAGTCTCCTTCTCAGATCGTCAGATATTTGGCCATAGTTATCATCAATCTCTGAAGCAAAAGAAGCCGCAATAGCTTAGTCTTTCCCCACAATAGCTATTTCAAGGCACAGATTGAATTACAATGATAATAACAACACATTATACTGTATAAGGATACTAGGTAGGAGGAAATTAGCAAGTGGCTCCTGTAGGGCCAAACCTTAATGACCCTTGATGATACTGTCTTTTTCTTCAGATCGGGACAGCAGTATCTGAGAGGGAGGGTTGACCTTCCCTCCTCACGCTGCTTTCCCATTGAAAAACACTCCTGAAGACACACCCACCCCAGTCATGATCCCAGCATAGATCAAGGTGCCATGTGGGTGCCATTTGTAGATAAAAGCACTTGGGTACTGTCAACTTTTTTGCCAGGCTCAATGACGCATGCACCCATGTATGCCTGAATTATGCATCCCTATTACTTAATCTTCCAACCTTTAGTTCTGCACTGGAACCCACAAAATTCACCTCTTAGAGAGAGGTGCTGAAAAACCTCACTGCATGAGCTGGCACTCTCTTTTGTAGCCATTTGAATCCTAGCTTTTTTTATTTCCCCCTTTCTGTGTATTCCATTCATGTTAGATTTTAATTTGTTAAAGAAATGTTGGAAGAAAGTAATAATGAATTCTCCTCATATCTAGGCCATAAATATTCAGGAAGAATATCGGGGGCCTAACTTACTGGGAGGGCACATCCTTTACATGCAAAAGGCCCCAGTTCAACCCTGACATCTCCAGTTAAGTTCAACCTGTGACATCTCTAGTTAGTTCAGCTTCAACAACACTGAACTAGGTGGACCAATGGTCTGTTGAGGAATGAAGCATTTTTGGTTGTCGTTACACTGTAGATACTAAGACAATAAGTGAATATTCATCCTTGAAGAATGAAGCTTTCACTGTTGAAACAGGGTCTCTGATCTGGGGCAGGATAAATCCTCAGAATTATTTTAGAACATTATTTGAAAGTATATCACATGGTCTGCTTTTGGAAGGGAGATCTGGACGAAGCCCACATTTGCCATAATGTTTCAACTTGGAGGATTGGCCATGGGTCCATGTGGTCCTTGACGCCAAAACAGATAGCCATGCCTGGTTAAAAGCAAAGTAATTAATGAAGATGATGTGATAATTGTAAATTGGGAGGCTGCTGATTAGGCTTTGGCTAAGGGTGCTTCTCTCCCAATTGTCTCAGACAGTTGTTAAAGGCCTTGCTGTAACTGATGTTACACTGGATATGCAGGCTGACACCGTGTGTTCAAGAATCCTATGCGTTCAGCCTTTCTCATGATATAGACCCACTAGGCACATGCACCTAGAAGTGGGTGCCCTTCTACAGAACTTTGGCCCTGAGTGCAGGGGCCCAGGGGTGCAGCCAGCTGGTGTGATCCTGCTCCCTTCTTTGTATGATTATGCATGGAGGTAGCTTGTGAAAGGAGATTATTTTGACAGTGGAATCATACAAAGCAAGTGTGTTGTGAAAGTTTTTGTTGCTCTTGATGGGTCTTCCTTATGTGTAATTCTAACACCTACAATTCTAGTCTGTCATGTATGAGCTAGTTGAGATTCTTGCACTGCAGGGGGCTGGAGTAAATGACCCTCGAGATCCCTTCTATGATTCTGTGACTGCTACTTGAGTCCACTTGGTCTTATATAATAAGGATGCAACAAGCAATTGTATTTGGCGACTGTTAGAGAAGTCAGATGACAATACACTTGTGTGGATGATACTCACGTTGCTCACTGGCCAAATTTCTATCCAGATAGCCATTGATTTCCTGTTTAATAATGTTTGATGTCTTGTAGCTGTTTTGATTATCCGCAAGCAGTTTCTTAATTTTGTTTATCCTGTCAGCAAAATCCTGGTCTGTTTCGTCTATCAGTCCCTGCATCCGGCATCCTGAAGGACATTTAGTGCCCTGAAATGAGGAAATAGCAAATAAAATAAAATTACAGATGAAACATCTGCCATGTCACTTATTTGGTCCTCAAGGTTCATTATTTTATTATTACTGCTAATAGAGATTTAATTATAATCACATGTAATTTAATTATCACATGAGATTTAATTATAATCACATGCCCAGTTTCAACCATGTTTGCTTGTCATGCCACATTGCTTATGCAGGAATGCTACCTGAAGAAGCTGGTTTAATTTGACTTCCTAGCAATAATAACATTGTTCTGTATTTATAGCAACTTTGTCACATGTGAATATATTTTTAGGAAACGCAGTGCTGTGTGTTTTTTCTAAGATGTGTGTGCCCAAAATCTAGCACACAGGGTGCTCAACAGCTAGACTCTGTACATGTTTGCTCCTGCTGTGATGTCTGACTGAATTCAGTGGGTTATATGTGTAGTCTGAATTGACTTTATTAATAATCAATGAAAGCTTTTTAATTACTAAACAATACATAGTTTTTCATCCTTGATTTTCAGTTAATCTAGAAATTTGAAGAAACCCTTTGTAGCAATTTCTGAATTGCAGGCGTGTTGTGGTATCATTGTATATCTATGTTATTAGGGTCTATTGTGCCATGACTGTGATTTTGTATGGAGACCGTGGTACACAGCAAAAAGTGTGATGAATGTGCTTCAGGCTTGTTCACTCTTACCCATTCGTCATCAGAGCACACTGGCCAATTCTTTTCAGATTTGCAGTCAGACTGGGCTTTATGCTCCACTATTCTTGGGCCACGTACTCCTCCTCCGAGCTCTGTAAAGGAGGCATCACCTTCTGCTGCCTGTCATAGAAGGAGGGGGAAAGCATCAAAACAATATTATAACTTATTTAATCTAATTTATTGTTATGTATCTCTTTCTCTTTCCTTCCCAAAGTGGCATACATGGTTCTCACCCTCTCCATATTATCATCACAACAACCCTGAGATAGGTTAGGCTGAGAATTGGCGACTGGCCCAAGGTCACCCTTCATGGCGGAATGGGAATTTGAACCCTGGTTTCCCAGGTCCTAGTCTGACATTCTAACCACTACACCACACTGTCTCTTTAATAATGATTCACTGAGTTACCAAAACAACCCAAAATATTAAGCAGAGTCTTATTAAGCAGGTCCTAGTCTGACATTATTAAGCAGGTCCTAGTCTGACATTCTAACCACTACACCACACTGTCTCTTTAATAATGATTCACTGAGTTACCAAAACAACCCAAAATCTATTAAGCAGAGGCTTGACAACCATATGTCAGGAGTGCTCTGATGGTGTTTCCTGCTTGGCAGGGGGTTGGACTCGATGGCCCTTGTGGTCTCTTCCAACTCTATGCTTCTATGATTCTATGAAAATATACCCAGATGCCCCTAATAATGAAGTCTAGTAATTAGAAACTTTTTGCACTTGTTTCACTAGCATCACAGCAGAGAAACAACGTCGTTTATTTTCAAGCTCTGCCTTTAAAAGTAAATGTTACTATATAGGTGGAATATAATGGCAAGCAAAGCTGCTGTGAGTCATGAGTGAATTTGCTGGAAGTGTGTTTCTGGCACAAAGGACAACTTCATGCAATTGATATGCTGTCAAGTACCAAGCAACTGGAAAGTAATAAGCCAAGTAAATCACCAAGCAAATATTAGTAAGTAACTGCTGTTACAATTGAGGTATATGAAAGGTATAGTAACTAAAGAGGAATTTATCACTCATGTAGGCTGCAATCCTCCTCAGTTAAAATCAGTGTGTTTTGACACAAAGTTTTGTATGCCTCTTTCATCAATACAGCTGGCTAAAATAGCAAATGGATAGGATCAATCATAATTTAATAGGCTATATATGGGTGTTCCGTTGACTTGGCTTCTTAGCATAGAAGCTAGAGAGAGGCTTATCTGAATCTGTTCCATAGGAAACGTTTGGTTTGGTTAGGTTCATACATCACAAGAATCTTTGCTTCAAGCATTTTGTTTCAGTTTTGAGAGCTGCCATGCCCTCGTGTGATTCATTCAGTTTTATTGTGACTTAATTGTAGACTCAATCTTAAAAACAGCAACTCAGCAGTATAGATTGTCAGAATGATTTCTGCTTTATACAGTTACAAATTTCATGAAATGCTGAAACGCTGCTAGATTTCATATGAAGGTAATGCATTTATCCTTGGGTTTGCTTTGGTCTGGGGAGTTATCACATCGTAATTTAATTAATTTTGGGGTCTTTTCTGTAATATAACTGAGAGCTCAGTTAAGTTTGTTTGTTGTATACAATTACAACTTTCATTGACTAGGTTTCATACGAAGAATTCAAAGATAATGCATATCAAAAGGGCTCTTATTATGAACACATGCCTATAAAGCACTCATTTGCCCCAGTCCAGCAAGGAAGATGCATGCACAGAGATAGGCTAACACACACAGATGACAATGCAGAGACATAGCTGGATGTGCATCCACATCAAAACCCTCATCAGGGTCCCACTGAGATGCAATCTCTGGAGCTGGTTGAGAAAGCATATTCCCTTATCTGGGGCCACTTTTATATGCAACCAGTTATGCGTTACTTTTTTTCTTGTATATATACATATAGAAACAAGTACAGATTGTATAGATGGAGATACAGCCAGATGATGCACCCAAGAATCGTCCCTCCCGAATTCAAGCATTTGAAAGGAGAAACCCCCAGATTTCACTTCCATTTCACTGTTCATCTGGTAGTAAGAGGTTTATTTGGGCTGAAATATATTACTTTCTAAGCAAGAAGGTGACCAATAGAACAAAAAGCAACATAGCTGGTAAGCTAACAGGAGAATCAGATAAAATGAACTCATACCCAAGTGATGCTGAAGCACAGCAGGGCACAGAAGACTCTCAGCTGCAACATCTTCAGAAAGCTGTGGATCTGACAGAAAGGGATGTGTTCCACTTAGGTATTTTTGGTTGAATTTAAACCTTGAATTTAAACTATCCATCTCCCCCCACAATTAATGATTAGTTTCCCTTTTGTTTGCAGAGTCACAGTGCAACATCTGAGTTTGCTGACCCAGGGGTCTGTTGCACAAATTCCTTGGTTTGTTTGCTAGAAGTCCGTTTGCACAATTCCAGCAAACACGGAACACAGACGTGGGTGGATAATCCAACCCTATTCCAGGAAAGGAGGACCTAAAGTTTGAAATGAATCATTGATAGATAGAACACATAGGGGAGAACACAGCACTGACAAATGTCAACAATCTAGAGCTGGCATTTCTAACATTGATGGAGTGTCACTGCTTAGTACATTACAGGAAACACATGGTTACAATGGCCATTTTGTGCTGTATATTATTGTTTGGATCCAGAAGAAAGAGCCAGCAATGGGGTAAATGCCTCATTTCCAAAACTAGGAATGAAAACATGGATGGATTTAAATAAAGAGCTGCAACTTCCTTTAAACAATTGGCTCCTCCAGATCACCTGTTCATTGAGCATTCATCCTCATTTGCTTGAACAAATCTTACACACACAAAAATAGATTATATCTGGTCTTTACTGAGTGTTTGTTTTGATTTCTTTGTGGGGCAGTTATATGATAAGTATAATTTGTGCTGATTTCATCCTGATTTGCTTGTGAGGTTTTTACATGTCTTCCTTTGTTCACCTCACACTTTTCTATGAATTTCCCCATCACTTTCCAAACTGCAAAAAGTCTGATTATTTTTTAAAGTTTATTTTTTGTACTATGGTGACAGAAACTATAACTTGCTTTAATTGTGCAAAACTAAATTTAGAGAATGCACTTAAATTCCTCCCACAAAACAGTGGCTGATGAAACAGTTAATGGAATAACCTAATCTCCCACTTTCCAAAGAGGATGGGGTGGCGTACTTGCCTCTGAGGCTAAAATGAGGAATCCTCATATCTACCTCCATCAGGTGACCTCACCCTAGGTCAGAGCATTAGCTATCTTTATGGCTGGTGCTGAGGAGGTTGCTGATTTACCATTAGTTCCAAAGCATCAGATTTTAGGATCAGTGAATCTTCAGTTGCCCAAGGTTGGCTCCTCTACCTGTTTCTTTCAAGTTGGGAAGCTTGGCGGAACTGTCTTGGGTAAACGTCCCTTCACCAGGGTGATGCCTCAGAGTGCTCACCACTGGGAACATGTGCTGTCTTTACCTTCTTTTCCCCACCCACGTTGTGCCTGCTGCAAGACAGAGCCAGCCTAACTTGTCATTTCTCAGCTTACCTATGACTCCAAAATGTGGACTGCAGGCCTTGCAGTAGATCCCCCCAAGGACAGATCATGCCCCTTCTAAGAGAGGTGTACCCCACCAATTACACAGTAAGAATTTGCATCAAACTGCTGCTCTTAGTTGTGACTAACATTTGCTCAATTATGCCCAATCTGTGTAAGACCGAGGCTGCATGCTTTTGATATGGGACACATTTTGAAAACGCTATCAGTAAATGAATGCTAGGCTCAGTCCAAAGATAAAGCATGATAATGGGAGAGTTGCAGAGTTACAAGACTATGGACAGATGGCTATTTGAATGAGCCACACATTCAGCTATCATGGTGGTCATAACATCAGTGGGACTTCAGTCTTTCCCGATGATATTTTTGTCTATGTGCTTGGTGCAAAAAAGAAAAAAGAAAAGGTTACTATGAATCAGGAAGATTATTTTTCAAGGGCTTTGGTATTTTTTGTACAAGATTCCAATTTCTAACTTTTTATTGATAGAAGTGACACGCTTCTGGAAAGTGGCTTGCTTTAAAAGAGTGGCTATGGTGTGTTTCTTTTATTTCATAAAACAATTTTATCATGCAACTGCCAATCATTGCAGTCATTTCCACCTGAAAATTGCTGAGGGCCCTCTTATTGTAGCAATTGTAAATCTGTAGAATTCAAATTGTAATACAATAAAATACAGAAGCAATAAACATATAATTAAATGTTATAATGAATATTAAGTGTGATGGATATGCCATCTCCCATGGTCAACCACAAATCCACTGAGACCCTACAGGTCTCTGGAATGAAACTGATGGTCCATGGAGCAGTTTGGGAAGCTCTGCTTTATTGGTTCAATCTTCTAGTTTCAATTTCTCATGTTAGGAAGGCAATGCATATTTAAATATACATAGTATACAGGCTATTCAAAATGTTTTAACAGGTTTTGCATATCCTTGGAAGGTTTGAATAGGATCTTAGGAGCATGATAGAACAGACCAAAAATCCATCTAAAGTAACATCCTATTTCCCACAGTGGAGTCACCTGATTGCTCCGAGAAGCCTACAAGCAGAAAGAACATGATGGCAATAACCAGGTGTGCTGTAAAGAGTCAGTATCAAAGTAAAGGTTAATCAGTCAAATCCTGTTTTTTGTTCATATATAAGTTCAATAAGGCAGCTTCCAGGATCTTGTAATGTGTTGGTGGGTAAAATATTGTGTATTTCACCAACCACTGGGTCCCGAAATGATTACACTTTTCAGGCACATCCACCACATTTGGCAGTAGTTGCCTCTGTAACCCATCTACTCCAACAGAATTCTTATGAATATAAGAAAGTTTTATTGCAGTATTTTCTGCATCATTTCTTTAACACCGGCTGAAGAACACCTATAAGGGAATTTCTCCCAGATCTTAAACCAATATTCATCTTCAATTTTTATTTCCAAGTTCATTTCCTACATGTGTTTTGAACTTCCTGCTGTGCCCCGTATCCCGTAGTGTTCACAGTTTGTGTATTTGGGAGAGACCTTTTTCTATGCTTTCTGTTTCTACAATCATAGCTTCAAACCAGGTAAGCCCCCTAGTAGCCTGCTGTTTAATATGTAGTGATATTATGATAACAGGATCCAGTATTTTTGTATTTCACTTGTGTTTGCTACAAATTCTTCTGCAGGGGTTGGTCAAGACAAGTATATAAGAAAAGTCTTGCTGGGCCAGACGAAAGGCCTACCTGATCTAAGGTGGCCTGTATACATTACATACAAAAAGGAAATGCATTACCCAAAAAGTGCAATTTGCAAAACATTTGTGTTGCAATTACAGTAATACCTGATATTTCTGTGTAACCTTTCTTGACTATATCCCGTTCATGGGCTATCATCAGTTATCCACTTTTCTACTTCTGTCGAGGATTGAGTTGGATTTGTTCAAATCAGCACAACAGATGTATAAAGTTGTGGGACCCTCCAGAATAGTGTGGGAAGTAGCACTGCTAGAAGGAGGAGGAACTGGCAAAATCACCCAGCATCACCTTCCACCTCCAGCAAGAGCCTCTTCTAGATCTCAGTGCAGTCTGTCAATACCCCTTCTCTTTGCAGAATGGCAGATATGGGTCCAACCCATTAATTCCAACTGTCCTTATCTGGAGTGATACTTGATGTATAGTTAATGCTATATCACAATGACCGCTCCCCAAATTCAATGGGGGGCGCCCTTTGTGTGGTCGTGCGCAGCCCCCTGGACCCTATGCAGCACCATTACCACAGGCTTGGCTTCGCCTTCTCCAGGTGGGATACCTGGAGGTCTCCGCCTACCTCAGCCAGTTGCCCAATCCCGCCAGGGGAGGCGTTGCCCAGGTGATCAGGCCAGGTAGGGGGAGGGACCATCTGCCCACACAATAGGGGGAGGATCTTACCTGGGAATCATCAGTTGGCTCCAGAGCTTCTTCCACCCTACCCACCCTCAGTTAAGACTTCTTTTGCAGGTTAACCTTTTCTCCACAGGAACGTGGGTGCTGTTACATCAAGGGCGCTGTTGAAGGGCCGGAAAGGAATTCTCCTGCATTGGCAGGTTTGCTTTTCCCGTAGCAAAATGTCACAACTTTGGCAGTATCAGGCCTTGGGCAGAATCCTTTAGTCTATCTTCTCCAAATGGGGGAGGGCGTGCAGCGGTGACCCATGCCCTCCTCCTCTTTGTGGCGGCAATACCACGGTTCCCCGTTAAAGGGGTTGTTTGAGGGGAGGCTTTGGCTGTATGCCTAGAGGTTGTCATTGCTCTCCCCTGTGACAGCGGCGTAATGGGGGCGGGCTCTCTCTGCTTGAACATGTGTTCTCCAGAGCCAGCCCATCCACCCCACACACTGGATAACCCTGATGTTCCCCAGATCCCTGGTGGGGGACTGGGAAGGATTAAATGCCCAATGCCTGAGCCAAGGTCTACCCACATCTGAAACGTAATAAAGTTGTGGCCAATTTTAATCCCATAGCACATTGTCTTGAGTCGTTATTCCACACGGGGGCTGCCCAGGGTTTGGGGGACTCCACCTGTCCACGCTATATTCAGAGCAATGCAAACTCTTTTTATTTTAACACCATATTTCCATATAATAGATTTAGCAACATATCTGGGAAGGTAGTATGATGTTTGTGCCAAAGCAAACTAGAAGTAACACGGACACAACTGCAGAAATCAAGGTATCATAGCTGACTATCTCAATTTAATTTTGCCTTAAATAGTGGCAGCTTGAGTCTTAGCCTTATTATGTTGATGCTTCTTGAATAATGAGCTTTAGTGAGCCAGTTCTGTGTATCTGTCAGATCTAGGGAAGTTTTTAATATTTAATGCGGTATTGTTTTTAACACTTGATTGGGAGCTGCCCAGAGTGGCTGGGAAACTCAGCCAGATGGGCGGGGTATAAATAATAAATTGTTGTTGTTGTTATACTAGTGGTTAATTTCAGCCAAAAAGTGTTTGGTGCAAGTATATTTTATTCCTAATTAAAACAGTGTGGTTCGTAAAGCACTGTTCCTATTCCCTTAAAATAAACTGAAGTTATTTCTGGAATATGAATAAATAACAAGGGAAGAATAATTTGTTTTAAATGTGAATGGATAGGGTATCATTTTCTACACAAACACCTTTACCTAACAATAAGGGATTCAATGAAATGAGTTTGGTTATGAAATTGCCAAATCTGGTAATTTGGTGCTTTTATTCGCAAAATCAATTTGCATCACTGGTCCATCTGAAATAAAACATAGGTGACATTAAATAAAGGGCAGTCAACTGTATATAATAGATTGGGCTTTGTATGGTATTGTTAAACCACAGAGCCTAGGGCTTGCCGATCAGGTCGGCGGATCGAATCCCCGCGACGGGGTGAGCTCCCGTTGCTTGGTCCTTGCTCCTGGCAACCTAGCAGTTTGAAAGCACATCAAAGTGCAAGTAGATAAATAGGTACCGCTCCGGCGGGAAGGTAAACGACGTTTCCATGCACTGCTCTGGTTCACCAGAAGCGGCTTAGTCATGCTGGCCACATGACCCGGAAGCTGTACGCCGGCTCCCTTGGCCAATAAAGTGATATGAGTGCCGCAACCCCAGAGTCGGTCACAACTGGACCTAATGGTCAGGGGTCCCTTTACCTTTACCTTTAGGGTGCTGATGAATAAAGCTAGGAGCGCATTTACAGATTTATAAACAATCTTTTGAAGACGATTCTGAACATTTGCTGAATTCCTTTCAATTATTGTGACAGTTAAGAAGCAATTAATAGTACATTTTCATTTATTAATATTTATTCAAATATATACGGAGAAGAAATGTTGAACAATAACTACAAATAGTGGTTCTAATCTAGAACAGTTTTTGCCTATGTTGAAGGATATTTTCTTGCATGTGGATTTTGCTATACCATTGTTGGATACAGACACAATCTGGAGAACTTCAGGATTCAGGCTTTTAAACTTGTGAGCTATTCAGTTTTCCACAACTTTGTGCAAAATTGTGCAACTGTGAATATGCAGCAGAAAATGTGAGCAATGAATGTCTTTTATTGGAGGGCAGAAATGAACATTTAATGATTTGCTTCTAGTTCCAGAGACTATATTTTGGATGCTTTGTGAACTTCAGAGTAGCATTTTATAAAAGTTTGTGAATTTGACCAGTTAAATCTTTGTTAAAAATGTTCTTTTAAACATCTCCAACCTACAAGAAAGAAAGAAAAAGGAACAACTGTCATTTTTCTCCTGAGAAAAGACTGAATAACATACATCTATAAAGAGGATTTTGTGAACACAGAAACAAAAGAGCCCTGCAATTTCCAACCAAAGACATTACTAATTAAGAATCTTTGGAAGACCATAACAGACAACAATCTCCACTCCAGTTTGGGATTCAAAGATACACTTATTTTGAACATGGGGGTTCTGTTTAGTTATCATGGCTAAATGATAGTTTCAACAGAATGATCCACCAGGAAATTTGTCTAGTCCTATTTTAAAGCCATTCTCTGCTAGAGTTCCAACACCACATCACATGGCATCAGGTACCATGTGTCTGTTATACACATCTATATGCCATTTTGATTTTAATGTGATAACACAGTATTCAGAATGAAATAGCTCTGAGAATATTTTCCATAAGATGCCAGTAAAATGCTCTTAACATTGTTCAGGTGCAATGCTTCCATTAATTCAATTTTCAATTGACTTTGTTGTCTTCCTAAATGTCTCCTTGGCCTCCTAATCCAGCCTCTCCCCTTATGAACCTCTCCCCAAAGAGTCTCTCCCCATATAAACTTAGCTGGACCCTGCAATCATCATCTGAGGCCCTTCTTCATGTGCCTCCTCCAAGAGACATCTGGAGGGTGGCAACATGAGAACGGGCCTTTTCTGTGGTGGGTCCCCACTTTTGGAATGCTCCCCCCAGGGAGGCTCCTCTGGCACCTTCACTGCATATTATCTTTAGGTGCCGGGCCATTTTTCTCTATACACAGACCTTTGGCCTTTAACAATGTATGGCTTTTATAAGTGGGTGGGATGTTTGTAAAGTACAACCACACCACCCCCACCCCCACCCCCAATTTGAATGTATTTATGTTTGGTTTTTTGTTTGTTTGTTCGGTGTTTGGTTGAAAGTCACTTTCAGTTGCTTTGGCAAGGCAAAGCAACTAAATAATGATGATGATAATAATAATAATAATAATAATAATAATAATAATAATAATAATAATAACCTCTTTTACTCCTCCGGCTTGCCCTCCTGTTACTACTGAAAGCCTGGAGAATGGAATGATTTTCATAGTTGTTTTCTTCATGGAATACCACCGACTTCGCCAGGTTGCCCAAATGATGCCATTGTCATAACCACTTGGACCGGCATCTTTCTCTGTGTAAGAACCACCTAAAATACAAGCAGCAACATAATATCATGTAAGTGGATGGTAAGATTATTTTTACAGAATGAAAAGATAAGCTGCACTTAACTTTACCCTTCTCTGTGCCCCCAGCAATTCTGCAGCAAGTTTCTAAACTTGTTTATTCAGAAGTCAGTTCCACTGAGTTGAATGGGGCATTTCATAATAAGAACACTTAGTCAGTGCTTTTTTTCTGGAGGGACACAGGGGTATGCATACCCCTAAACATTTTGTGAATCTAAGTTTGGCCTCATTGAGGGGCAGTATTTCAATATGAGTAGGAAAGTGAGAGTACCCCTAAACATTTTTGTAGAAAAAAAGGACTGCACTTAGTTATACACACAATAAATATGTGATATGTAAAATGTCAATTGGTTCCTTCTCAGGCTTATTCAGAGTAAGTATCTGAAGTGAGATGAAGGGGACATACTTTGTAATTACAATTCTTAATTGCACATGTGTGATATGTAAGGAGCCAATTGATCAGCTAATGGCACCATTACAGTATTAAAGTTTCCTATTTCAAGATATCTCAGAATCATAAATGGTTTACACCACAGGAAAATGCATATACCCAGCCGTCCAGATCCACAGCACAGCGGATACTTGATCCTGGAAAATCTGAAGCGTCTGCAGACTTGCTGTAGCCAAAGGCTAGCATATCAAAGTTGAATTGATTTCTCTCTCATTGAAATCAATGGGACAGAAAAGTGCTTAAAGGTGCAACCTATGCATGTTAACTCAGAAGTAAGTTGCACTATATTCAGTGAGCCTAGGATTCACTTTTGTTGGATCCTACCCTGAATGTTTAGGATTGGAAGGAGAAAAGATCAGTCCTATCAAACACCCCTTGATTGAGTCTATTTTAACTTGGATTGGTTCAGAATAAGTGGAACTATTTCCAGATTATGTGAGGAGGTGTCTATGTTTGCCCATCTCTTTCTGAAACCTGAGATCAGATGAGTCAGGCCCCTGTTACCTATCCGCCTTCAAAAGTTTGGAGGGGAGGGGAGAGAGGACTTGGAGCATGCCCAAAGCTCATAGCGTTACCTTGATAGTATTTGCCATTGAGGTGAGCAGCATGGCATCTGTTCATCCACCACCCAGATTTGTCCTGTTCAGCACAGTTGCCATCAAATTTATCATTGTCGTTGTCAGCTGTGCTGAACTGCATTCCGTTGTGGGATGTGAAGAATTTGTCACTTGGATCATCTCCAAAATCAAAGCCTTCAAAGGCATCACCAGCCTCACCGCCAGAAAAGAAGGCGTAAGTCAGGCGATACTTGTCTGCTTCAGTTCCCACTTTGAAGTGGGCGTAATCTGCATAGCTGTAGAAAGGAGAAAGTTAAACGTTCCAAATTTTACTAGTGTTAAATGTCTTTTACTTTTGATTCCTCAGACATGTCCGTTAATTATATTACGTAGTGCAGGCATTGCAAGGGTACAAAATGGGGGCATTTGCACAGAAACTGTCTGAAACAGATGCCTGCCGAGTTCATCTTAGCAGGTCTATAAACGTAGAGGACTTGATCACATTCCTCTGTTCTGGGCACCATAGTAAAGCAGTTTTCTGCTATTACAGTTACTGCAGGAGTAAACTAGAGCTTGTTTGAGAGATGAGGTGCAAACCATCCCTGGGTCATAACATGGTACACTAACTTTACCTGCTTCTATAATTAAAAAATTGATATTTTAAACAAATATAATTGTGCTTTTTATGCTCTTCGGTGGAATATTGTCAGGTAAAAGAACACTGGGGACAGCCCAGTGGTCTTTCATTAGTGCTGTGGACTAATGGCCGGAACACATATCAATGTCAGATTGGCTGCTGGGAAGGAGCCTGGATCACATGTTGCAGGAAGCAGTAGAACCCAGAGAAACCAACAATAGCCTTAAGACTTGTATTGGCTGGTAGCAAATGGACAGAAAGATGATGGCACAGCATAACAGGCTTGCCAGGTGTTGATAAAGCAAGAGGCCTCTTTGCAGACTTTGGTCCACAGACCTGGAGTGGGGGCATGGATGGGTGAAGAGGACAGCAGAATGATCTAGTTTATACCTTAGAATTTGGCAGCTGTACAGTGCAAACTTTGGATAGCCAGAGTTCCAAAGTCTAAGAGCAATGATGTCCTGCGACAAAGAACCAGGTAGAACATAGTCCTTTCTGCTGCATTTAACAGCCCCCAACATGTCACAAGACCCCAAGCCTTTGCTGTTACAGTTCCTCTACCCCAGCAGTGCTCATACACAGATCCTGTATCTACCTCTTCTTCCTTCCCCTGCTTCCACTGGCATCGTTGTACCTCTCTCCAGACAACCATTGCTTCACTTTCCCCTTCTGGCCTCAGGTCAGACCCCACACACTCATCTTTTACTCCCTGGGAAGCCCTTTTGTGGGGAGGCCTCATGTGTGTTCCTGCTTTTATTGCACTATTTCCTCTTAACCTTCTGAGCCAAATGCAGTGTTACCAGCAGGTACAAAGTTCTCATGGGAAGAAAATGTGAAGTTTGGGAAGGGGAAATCCCCATTGTTCCTCCTGGTTAATAAGCCAATGTTTGACCACCAGGAGCATAAGAGTCATGAACTACTGAAGAAATCCTCCTGGAGGAATACCTTTTTTGGCCACTCCAGTCCTCCAGCTCTATTCGCAAGGCATATGGAATAGCAGACTGAGTGGTTATCAGATGAACCTTCTCATTTCCTAGCCAGAATTCTGTCTGGTCGTTTGGTGACAGGTGTCCAAAGCCTTCTTTGTACTGAATCCAGTTTTTATTAAAATCTTCACTCCCATCAAGCCTCTGATAGGAAGGAATTGGAGAGGTAGGAAAGGAAAATGAGCAGGATTAGTATTCATTTTATACAACTCTTATATGTTATGCATGCCACGCATTCGCTTTGCAGATCACATACCCTCTGGAAAACCGTCCACCCGTTTCCTAGTGTATCCATTTCACAATAGACCAGGAACTGCTCCTTGGCTTTGAGAGGTTTGATGAAGTAGAGACCGCTCTGCCTGGCACCTTTATTTGCAATGTCTTGACAATCTATAATGAAGAAACAGGAGCAACATACATTAGTGAAACTGCTGTCTATGGTATTCACATTTTAACTAAACAAGACTAAATACACCACATACCTCAATCGTTATAATTTGCATTCTTCTCCAGTGCTTTACCCAAAGAACTCAGGGCAATATACACAGTTTAATCTCTCAAGAATCACATGAAGTAGCTTAGGCTGACCAGATATTTGAACCCAAGTCTCCCTGGCCTAAGACTAACCCCACACCCCTCAAACCACTGGTTCTGCTCTATGTGGAAACTGTTCTGGAGTACATAATTTAAAGACTGTTAACAAAACGCTTTGGACACTGAGATGTACCTACATTATTCATTGCAAGTCTGCAGAAGTTAACGAGATACATTCCTATTTGTCTGCACCGAAATGTGGTTTTCTTGGAACTGTATTAACCTACAACTGAGCTATGGCCTTCCTCCTCTTTACTTATATAGATAGAGATTTTGATAATTTTATAGGTCAAACAAAGCTTTTGAAACTTCAGAAAATACCACAAGTTGTCTCTCTCCACTCATTGGTCCAACCGGGACTTCCACTAATGGGAAGGAGATGAGGCCTCTTGCAACTGCTCCAAATGTTATGTTGGGGTGAGGGGAGGGACATTTTGGAACAGTTTGGTAGGTGAAGTGGGAACTTCAGGTGAAAGAGAAGTTTTGCAAAAAACTACCTTAAGCTGATGGAAGTCTGTGCTGCATTCAAAAAGGATTCCATTAGTGGAAGGACACAAGTAGATATAATGCAGTAAACATGTCGACCTCAAGGCTCCACTTTTAAATATACTTATTTGTGAGCATATGCCGCAGACATCAGTGGAAACTATGAATAATTGTGCTTAGACTTGAGGTGAGAACAGAATGACAGCCCATAGATGTTAGCCTGGACTTAAGCCCATCTGGATCTTTAGAACTAAGTCACTAGAACTAAGTTGTTTGTTTCCACGCTTTAGTGATGAAACCATTTCATAGTGACAACTGTCAAATGAAGAGTTATTTCTATTGATCTCAATCCCACAGTCTTTGTACCCACATCCAGTTCTTTCAGATTTAAAAATATGTTTTCAAATGGCTGGGCTTCATGCTCAAGAATGAAATAAGTTTATAAAATGGTCAATTAGCCAAATACAGTGCCTTTCCATAAAATGTTAGTACACAATAAACTGGCATTATCCTGTCACTGCGACTTCCCATTAATTTCTGTATATATTTGAATAGAGTGGACTTCATGATCAGAAACAGATTAAATTTCTTAAAAGAGCTGTTAGCCACCTCAATAAGATGGGAGTGATGGCACACAATTCATCAAACAGGTACTAGGCTCTCACTCTTACCTCTTCCAGTTAATTCTTGTATCTGGACAGTGTCTTTGCACGGCTGTTGGCATTGTGCCTCAAGCTGAGCAGTCTTCTGCTTCAAATGTTGAATATTGTTATTGTTCGAAATCAGCAAGTCTGTCAGTTGCCTAGCAATTGAAAAACCCAATACAGGACAGCTTTATTGGAACAATAGTTGAAGCTGAATTCATTTAGACTGTGAGGAGGTTGGAGGGGGGCAGAGAATCATGTCTTATCTCAAGTTACCTCACTCTCTGCATGTCCAGCAAACTGTCCACTGAAGGCATAGAGCTTGGTGCAGGTCCAGTGAGGGACCCCACTCTCCCCTCAATGCAGTCAGTCTACTAGGAGCAAGTGCTTGTTTTTCTGCACTAATATGACCTAAAAGAATAATTGTCCTGCATGCCTCCATGTCTGCTGCCTTGAGCTCATTGGAGGAATAAGAGATGGCTGTATCTGAGTTCCTTAGATGTGTAAGAAGCATCTGCTGTAGTCTGATTCAACGGGTTTATTCAGAAGTTAGCCCCAATGTAGTAAGTGAGGCTTGCGTCCAAGAAACAGGTATAGGAGCTGCAGCTACACAGATAGCTTAATTCTCTTGGTTGGATTATAACTTTAAACAAGTAAATAGCTTGATTAGGTGATAAACCTTAACTAAGCAAACAACATGTCTGTTTACACAGATTAAGTTATAAGAACACACACATTTTCTTCAACACATCAGCAGAACTTCATTGAGGAAGCGAAGCAGTGAGATTAAGTAAAGTCCTCAAAGCTGCAGTAACAGAAAATACATACTGTATTGTATTTTCATGGGCCACAACGATGTTTTCATATCTGATGATTTCGTCAATGATTTCTCTGGACTTTTGAGTATAACCTGGAATCACATCTGCAGAACAGGAACAAAAGCATGCAAAATGTTAGTGATGTGCTGCTATATGAGCTGGGAAATAAAGGAATGTTTCCACTGTACTGTAGTGGCCTTTGCGTTCTCACTTGGCTGAGTTTGAGGGGATCCCATGTGCACCTGACGAATCTGAGATATCAGTTGGTCCGTTAAACCTGAAGAGTTAGAGATCTGTTCCAGGATTTGTTCAAGTATCCGGAGATCTCGATCCACTGTAGGCTGATATGTATTCAAGAAATCTGCAATGCCACATGTGGTGGGGCAAAAGCTACCCTAAAGGAAAAGAGAACTTTTAAATCACACTGCAGAAGAAGAAATGTTTAACAGCCTGACTCTATAATTTTTCATCCCCTACACATGCAGAACCTGATGAATATTAATCACCCCCTTGTAGGCTAGACAAGAGGAGAGTTTAAAACACAATGATAAATGAGCTTATTTTAAAATGTTGCATGCAGTCTGTAACCAACGTTAAAAGCAGCCGCACATTTTAACAACTGCTTCACAAAGGAATACACATACCAACATGCCAGTAGTAACCATATTAGTAAGAAGTGCAAGAATAACAAGAGATATTGACTTACAAATCGGTCATCCAAGATGCAGCAGTTATCACGGGTCACAGGAACATCATACTATGTGAAATAATACATAAAATAAAATGAGACTTTCAGTGATTTTGCTACTATGGCAGCTATTTCAGCCGTTTCTTTAAGAGGTTGCTACCCTGCCCTGCTACACTTACTGTGCTGCAAGTTGAAAAAAGGAAGGACAGGAGAGGCAGCCAAATGTTGAACCTTGGTTTCATTGTGCCTGTGGCTCTGTGACTTCCCAAGCACTGAAGAGGCAGTGCTTAATCAGTGCGGCTTTGCAAGTGTCAGGGACCTGATATTGCTCTCCGGACTGCACAGCAGCAGCTTAAGGGATCAGGTGGGACACAGTGGGTGGACACAGTATTGTAAATAGGCGGGGACAGAGTGGGGAGGGAGGGCAGCCTCTTCCTGACCTTGCGGGGGTGTTTCCGGGATCCGTTGCCTGTTCTTCCCATTTTTAGCACCAGTTCACTTAGCACACACATCCACAAGTCCTCCTTTGCGGGGAACAACAACAACAAAAAGAAAAAAAGGTTGTAGAAGATGGACAAGTTGCCCTATGGAGCAATCGCTTCCAGGAACCACTTGCACTAAGCCTGACCTGTCTCTCTGAAGGGTCTGATGATCAGAGATAGGAAAGATCGCAAGAAGAGTCTATGTCCGCCCCCACAAAGTTCAAACAGCTCCAAGTGAATGTGTTATTTTGTAAAATGGCTTATGCCGTGCTCTTGGACCCCCGTGTGGCCTTTAAAAATTACAGTGGTACCTCGGGTTACAGACGCTTCAGGTTACAGAAGCTTCAGGTTATAGACTCCATTAACCCAGAAATAGTACCTCGGGTTAAGAACTTTGCTTCAGGATGAGAACAGAAATCATGTGATGGCAGCGGGAGACCCCATTAGCTAAAGTGGTACCTCAGGTTAAGAACAGTTTCAGGTTAAGAATGAACCTCCAGAACGAATTAAGTTCTTAACCTGATGTACCACTATATTGGTATAAACTTTAAAGGTTTGGGAAAATTTGGAAAGTGTGAGTGTTGGGGATGTAGCAGCATGGAAAGTGTTTCTGTGCGGCCAAGGCTCAAAAAAAGAAATAGCTTGTGTGTGGTTCCCCTGAGCTGGAGCTCCTGCGCATGAACCCCTCTAGGTTATTTGCTGTGGGTGGAAAGCTCCCATTAACATCAATGTGATCTGATTCTAAGCAAGAAAGGTCCCCTCTCCCTACGCCATAGACCCGATATTACAGGCTCCCCTGCGCTGACTATTTGTTTCTTTAAAAGTCCCCCACACAAGGCCAAACCACCTGATAAATGTCATCTGGGCCTGTGGAGGCTCCAGGCAGGGTTTGCAGAGTGCCACATTCTTTCTGAGTGGTATCCCTTCAAGAAGATCCCACACCTGGGAAGAATGAGCTACTCTACAAAGCTGGAGACATCTGAGGTGGGGCCTCTCTCTCTCTTTGCACCAAGGCTACACACCCTCATCTAGCAACATCCCTCACTTGCCCTGCTCTGTACCCTTCTCAAGTGCTTTTGCCTGTGCTTGGACTGAAATAATGCATCTTGATGTACGTGGATGCAGAAACCTCTGGCATTTGCATGGTTAGCCTAGTGTACAAAGGGAAGAGTCCCATCTTTGCTTCACTCACTTTTGCCCGTGGACCCGTCAGCCACTGCCATGCAGCGCCACAGAAAGTTGCCTATGAGGGAATGAAGCCCTTTGGCTGAAAAAAGCTCAAGTTAGTTATCCTGCAAAAAGATTTCTAAATTTTTTAAGCCACTTAGAGGGTTGTTTTATTTTCTTTTCTTAACAGTTAAGTAAGTAAGTAAGTAAGTAAGTAAGTAAATACAGTGTTGTTGTGGGCAACAAACCTGTGAAATAACGCTGATCCTTAAAATCTCTAGATAAAATTTTGGCACAAACCAAGATGCTCCTTACTCTTCTTCATAGATTTGTTGTTATGTTGATACAACCACCACCACCACACACACACACACACACACACACACACACACACACACGAGAGTCAGAAGAGAGGTAATTTGCTACATTTAATCAAGACCCTGACAGAATTTCCTTTGCCATTCTAAGTGCTTTTGGTTTTGCTAAGGTGTCCTTACAGAGACAAATCTTTAGAAAATGAATAGAAGAATGGGCAATTCATTTTTAGAGGCCAAAGTAAAGCCCTTTGTGTACTGAATTGAGCAATTTTGAGCCTTTTGTGGTTTATTGACGGATTTCTCAAGCAGCTCCTGAATGATTAATGCAGATGGAGATGGAAGGCAGATTTCTTAAGCCTAGATACTCATGTACCTTTCTCAAACTGATAAGAAAGGTAAAAATGGTATTTGGTTAGTTTTTAGGTCAAACTCTATAAATCCCATTGGTTGTGTACACAGAGGTTTGAGCCGATCTTTGTTAGCCTTTTCTTTCAAAGGGACATTGGAAAGTTATCCTGAACATTCCTGTTAAGATTAACTTTTGGGTTTGTTTTTTTAAAAAGCGAAATGGGAACTCCATGGAATGGAAATATCTGTTTATAAGGCAGCTTAGAAACTTGGGCAATAGGTTAGGACACTTCTGAGAACGTACATAGCAACTTTGCTTACATTTGTGCACCACAGCAATGATGGGATGGAAGTTGTACATTGTGTTAACGTGAAGATCGAAGTTTAGAGCTCCTGCTTTAAAATGGAATCAAAATTTCCACAGGCAACCAACCACCCCCACCCCCATTATGCGCATCACTGTGAAATAAATAAATACATGATTTGAACCATGTATAGGCAGGCCTGTATAGGGAAGCTTTTAATGTTTGATGTTTTATAATTTGTTGGAAGCTGCTCAGAGTGGCTGGGGCAACCCAGTCAGATGGGCAACATATAAATGAATAATAATAACCAAGAAAAGGTGCCAAAACAACGCAAAAAGAGCATGATGGAGCTGGGGGGAGGGGGGGAGAGCTTCCATGGCTGCTCGCAGTGTTTTGCCACCCTCACTTACTCACCCTCTTTGGCTTTCTTCCTGGCCGACAGAGCCATTGTTTGGGGTGTGCTCTGCGTCTCGGCCCACCTGCCAGTCTCTTGCTTCCACATAACACAGAAAATATTCATTACCAATTTTATTTTGAAAATACTCATTTTGCTGCTACTGTATATGCTTCTCCTGGCAATAGAGACAACAAAATATTGCTTGACTACACATACAGTAGTGTAACATTCAAACCAAATTCAGAGGAGGGAAAATTACATCCCTTTATAACAATCACATGAGTTTTATTTAACATGTCTGACTGAAGATTAAACTGCATCTTAGATTATAAAGGAGACAATTTGATAATAGCATTAGAAATACAATAGTATTTTTTTCTGCTGTTGTTTCTATGTCTTCCAGAGTTTGTAAGATGTGGTTGCATTCATAGAATCATAGAATTGTATAGTTGGTAGGGACCATGAGGGTCATCTAGTCTAACCCTCAATAATGCAGTTTTCTTTTGCCCAATGTGGGGCTTGAGCCTACAACCGTGACATTAAGAGTCTCATGCTCTACCTACTGAGCACTCATACAAAGAACAAGATTTGGAAGCATTTGTCAACATCAGATTTTAATATTCTTTGGTTAGTTCGTGCCCCAGCTTCCGGAACACAACATTGCCCAATTTCATTTGACTGATCTACGGATATTTGAAGGACTTCGGCTCATTTATAAAAGGTTAGCTTTAAGTTCTTTATTCAAAGATTGCAGTGTATGATTTACCTTGAGCAGAAGACAGTGAACTCCATTTGCTCAACAAAGGGCTAATGTGCAAGGGGGAGATAAATAATCAGCTCAAATATTTGCAGAATACTCTGCAAGTAGGTGAGGACAGAGTCTACAACAAACTCAGCTGTTTGTGAGTAATGCTGTTTGATGAAGTAGTCTCAGGAAAAGACTGACAAATCAAACAAATTTTCTGGATGGGATACAGGTTTATGTGTTTGCAGAACATCGTATACAATAAGCAATGTTACTGGCAACCGGAAATGTAACATTAATTGTGAAATGGCCAAAAGGTGCATCATCATTTGTCCTCAGTAAAATAAAATGCCCTTCATGAGTTCTTTAGCAAATGGGACACTGTGTCAGGTTGTTTCCCCAACCCCCAGACATAATTGAGGCTGAAATCTAGGGGTGCCAACCAGATTTCCTGCGACTGGTACACTGTATGTGAATTGGGCCGTCTGATTTCTGCTCCCCTCCCCAAACAATCTATTGACAATACATGTCTAGCCTACCTCACAAAGCTGTTGTAAAAATAAAAAGAGGGGAGGGGAAGACAGCCTTTAGCTCCTGGGAGCAAAAGCAAGATACAGTTACAGGCAACAACCAATTTATGCATGTGCAAGTGTGCACACATGGTGCCGAACCGGGAAGTGACCCAAAACCATCACTAAAAGGGCGGAACAGGGGTGGGGCAGGAGTGAGATGGGGCAGAATGCTTTAAGTGGGCTCTGTCGAAGCACGCATGGGTCCAGACTGTAACTTCTGCACAAAATGTGGATTGCCTGTACAGTGGTACCTCGGGTTACATATGCTTCAGGTTACAGATGCTTCAGGTTACACACTCCGCTAACCCAGAAATAGTACCTCGGGTTAAGAACTTTGCTTCAGGATAAGAAGAGAAATCGTGCTCCGGCGGCGCAGCAGCAGCAGGAGGCCCCATTAGCTAAAGTGGTGCTTCAAGTTAAGAACAGATCTCCGGAACGAATTAAGTACTTAACCTGAAGTAGCATTGTATACAAAAAGAAGCAGCACACACTCTAAGCATGTGTAGTTTCACAACTCTCAGCAAAACACACACACATTTTGCCAACTATGATAAATGAAAGAAGTATCTTTGGATTACGGTCTACATGAATTTCAACTTGCTGCAGCTGTGCAGCAAGTTGTATTTGTTGCTTCACCTTGCATTTTATATTTTAGTTTGATGGTTACTGTATATTAATAAAAAATATACAAGTGATGACAAACAGATGAGTACTGTACTGGTTGTTGGGAGACATGATAAATGGGCCCACCCTCTGCAATATCACAATTTTTTCCTTACTAGGAAAGAAACATCATTTATTTCATGAGTTACATCCATGTAGAACATACCAAAGCTAGCCAGTTATGTTTTACACTGTAAAGGCAAATGCACTTGGGGAGTGTATGAATTAATGTGGTCATGGAAGAAAGTGCTTAAACAAACATATCCCAGCACACAGGCAGACTTTCCTCCTTCATCCAGCATTAGGCTAGCAGCACAGACATGCTTCTCTCTTTTTCCCCCTCCTGCAACTGATTCCCATGTGGTCAGCGTTCCTTCCTGATTTGCTTAGCAAAAGTAATTACGGGACCTTAGCAAAAGCAGTTGTATCTGCAGCCTTAGAACACTGTCTCCACATTTTGCTTTCCAACCCTCTTTATAGACGTCCAATTGACTTCGCTTTTTTAAAAATGAAAACGAATCTGGGCTCCTTGCTGGCTTGGGGCCAGGAGATGTGTGTCCCACCCACCCCCACCCCCTGGCTGGCGGCCCTGCTTGGTGTTTCTTTATTGTGCTCCTATCCTTGGCTGCAGCACTAAATATAGTTACATATCTGATTAGGTGTTGTATAACCTCACTTGTCTCAATACAGAAAGTGAAATCACTTCCCAAAGCTAATCAGTTTCATCCAGAGATAGATTTGCATCTGAACAATGCAACTCTGGCCCAATACATTTTGGCAGCTGAGGCAAACCACAAAACGGCATTCTCCTCCTCCCACCAGGGAAGAAGGGGTGAATGAAGATCTACATTGAAAACAAGGTGGGGAGGTGGGGGTGGAGGATGAGATCAACCTTACCCAATGACACAACGATTAAAGATTAGTTGCTTTTCTACTCCAAAAGTTGTTTCAAGTTTACACTAGTCCCATATGGGTCCATAAAGTCAATAGGGACTAGAGCAGGCTACACAGACAACAGCATTGCCAACTTCTTTTTAGTTAGATCAATAGGCCAGTAAATAGTTTTGAAACATCAATCCTTTTGTGAACATGTACTAAACAAAAATAGAATATTAAGTATCTATGTATTACTATAGACTGCCACCTGCTGTCTTTTTATGGTAGCATTAGAGTTCCTTAGGGTTTGTGTACGGATTGAAAAAGGAAAACAAAATGCAAAACTACAGTATGCATCAGAAATGCCTTTTCACTGAGAAAAGCACAAGAAATCCAAATTAATGTTTTTTATAACCAAAAGGCATGTTAATATGACTGCCGTGCAGTGTTATTTTTAGCTATACTATGGCTATTCCATCTGAATTTGATTGCGACTAAGTCCCATGGACTGCAAGAAGATCAAATCTATCCATTCTTAAGGAAATCAGCCCTGAGCGCTCACTGGAAGGACAGATCGTGAAGCTGAGGCGCCAATACTTTGGCCACCTCATGAGAAGAGAAGACTCCCTGGAAAAGACCCTGATGTTGGGAAAGATGGAGGGCACAAGGAGAAGGGGATGACAGAGGACGAGATGGTTGGATAGTGTTCTCGAAGCTACCAGCATGAGTTTGAGCAAACTGCGGGAGGCAGTGGATGACAGGAGTGCCTGGCGTGCTCTGGTCCACTGGGTCACGAAGAGTCGGACACGACTAAATGACAACAACAACTCTTCCTAAAGTACGGTAGTGAGTTGCATCATGCAAAACCAGCCTCTGCTTATAAACTTTTCAGTGACTGATAGTTGGCACATTGTATGATAAACTAAAAATAGCATTGCTTAAATTGATTCCTGCTCTTTTTATACCTGTATCATTATTGTCAAGATTTGGCCACTGTTGATGGTGGTGCAACACAGCCTCCTGCTGGTCAGTGTATAATCCTAAGGAATTTTTAAGCTGAGCATCTCACAATGGCCAAGTTTTCTGATGGTGCTTTCAATTAAGGTTGTTAAAATATTGCAAATGTGTGTGTATGTTTGAACTTGTTGGATTTTTGCCAGAAAAGGTTTAAAAATGCTTGGCACACCAACACTTCATGTTGACCCAAAGTATGGTGTTTCTTCTCCATCTATTAATAAGCGTAGTTTTAAGCACTACAGTGGTACCTCGTGTTACATACGCTTCAGGTTACATACGCTTCAGGTCACAGACTCCGCTAACCCAGAAATATTACCTCAGGTTAAGAACTTTGCTTCAGGATGAGAACAGAAATTGTGCTCCGGCGGCGCAGCAGCAGGAGGCCCCATTAGCTAAAGTGGTGCTTCAGGTTAAGAACTGTTTCAGGTTAAGAACAGACCTCCAGAACGAATTAAGTTCTTAACCTGAGGTACCACTGTATTTAGTCAAGAGTCAAGTAAAATGTAGGAACAGGGAAGAAGTGCTCTTTGCACATGCTATGGATGGTAACGTTCAAGCCTACCTTCTAATTATGTTTTTAAATTTGTTTTTATTTAGCACAGAATTCTGACAGCTCTTTTTGTCCGAGAATTGAAAAACGGGGGGCAGTGACTGCAGCCCTAAATAAAAACTCCCAAAATGTGTGTATGTGTGTTACTGTTTTTCGCTTTTTCTCTCAGATGGAACTTTTGCTTCCTTTGACATACTGTATAGCAATTTTAATTTCTTTTTATTATCTGTTATATTCTGCTCCATTAGCTAGTGAGACAACCATCCCAGATAACAGATGCTGGGGAAGCAGCAGGGTAGTTTATGAGAACAGAGTGTATGGACCCTGTGGTCTGTGTTCCTTAAACTAGCCTGCTGCCTTTAAGTGCAAAGGGGGATCCTGTCTCCAGACCAGTGTGAATTAAATATTCTGCTGCAGCTTCTACGGTCGGAAAATTTAAAAAAATAAGCATAGAAACTCTACAAGGGGAAAAACGACAACCGCAACTCTGGAGAGGGAATGGCGGCGGGCGGCTTCACCAGCCGGATTTCTGCCTGCCACCCACCGGCAACACCCCATGGAGGAGAACGGCGGAGGCCGCCTTGAAGAAACGGGAAAGCTGCGGGGACGCGGAACGACACGGCGGCGGCTGCAGAGCCGAGGGCGCCAGAGTCCGGGCGAGGATCCCGGGCGGTGACTGGCGGCGCCCGGCGGCCCTCCTTCTCCGCGCCACTTCCTCGGCCGAGCCCGCCCAGGCCTCGCCTCTCGCCCAGGAAGAAGCACCATGAGCGGCGCCGCGCTGCTGCTGAGGCTCCCGGCGGCCGCCGCCGCCCCGCGCCTCTCGCGGTGGACCAGCAGCCGCCGCTGTTGGAGCAGCGAGCCGTGCGCCCCTCAGGCGAGCCCAGTGCGGATCGGCTGCGCCTCGGGCTTCTGGGGAGACACGGCGGCCTCAGGTATTACGCAGGGAGCCGCGGCCTTGCGCGCCTGCACCGGGCGGCAGCTCCTCCTGCTGGTTGCCCGCCGGAAAACCCCTCGGACGTGGAGGCGGGAAAAAGAAAAACTCCCTCCGCGCTTTCCCTCTGCTCCGCGCCACTCCGCGGAGTTCCCTTCTGAGCCGATCGCGCTGTTGGGCTGCACTCCTTTTGCCACGCTTATGTGGGAGTGTGGGCACCGTTGAATGCAATGGCGCGAGATGCTTTGCATGCCTCGAATATGCCCAAACCGGCGTGCACAGATTCACGATCTCCGTTATTAAGTTCCTCACTCGCTTCTCGCCTCGTTAGCCTTCGCTGCAGTTTTTGTGCGCTTCCTCGCAGACTCTCTCGCCCGGCCTGCTGTCCCGATCATGCCATCTGAACGCACCTTTGCACCCACTTGCCCTTACAGTGTTCAGTTGCTTGGGTTTAGGTTCCGCACGGGCTCACCTTGCAAAAGGAGCCTCGTTCCTTCTTGGCTTGATTCATTGGAAGTTTGGGGGTGAAATCGGGTCAAAAGATAAAACAGCAGATGGCGCTGAAGTTGCTGCAAGCTTGCGTTGTTTGTTTACTCGCTGCAACCTCTCAGATTACATGCAACGATGCAATGGAACCTCAGGACTAAGGAGCATCTGTTTTCGTGGGATTTACAGGTCAGCGTGCATAGGACTGCAGCCTTGGGAGTATCCAAAACTTCTGGTCGCCTAGCAACTGTGTAATCACAGTTTGGCGTGATGAAAATGATGTAAAAGGAGTATATGGTTTCGTCTGTAAATGCATGCTGTGAACATGACTCTGAGGCTGCAGTCCTAAACACTTAGGAGTAAATCCTGTAAAAAAGATAAAAAAGGTAAAGGACCCCTGGACGGTTAAGTCCAGTTAAAGGCGACTATGGGGTTGTGACGCTCATCTTGCTTTCAGGCCGAGGAAGGCAGTGTTTGTCCACAGACAGCTTTCCGGGCCATGTGGTCAACATGACTAAACAGCTGCCGGTGCAACAGAACACCATGACGGAATAGAAAAGGAATAAAAAGCGGTACTTAATTATCTACTTGCACTGGTGTGCTTTCGAACTGCTAGGTTGGCAGAAGCTGGGACCGAGCAACAGCAGCTCACCCTGTCGCAGGGATTCAAACTGCCGACCTTCTGATCGGCAATCCCAAAGGGCTCAGTGGAATTTAACTTCTCAGTAACTATGCAAACGATTCGGTTTTCAATGTGACTGGAGGGCGGGACTAGGGAGGAGCTATTCTGGATAAATGAGTCCAAAGTGAAAAGGCATAGTCCAATATAATAAATGCCATGTGGGAACTGATTTGGAGAGCTGCAACGTATGTATCTATGAATGGTGTACTATTAAAATAATTTCCGTATGGCATTCCTCAGTTTTGACAACCAACTTAGTGGTCACCTTTTACTTATTGTAGACACTTTTTAGTTAGAACATTATTACTCTCAGTATTTGACACTTAAACTTCCTTTTAGTTGCTCTTAGCTTTTTACCCATTTCACTTCCTTTGATATTTTTCCACAACAATTTTATACCTTTCTCTGTGACTGTATAGTGTGATCCTAAACTTTTTAGTGTAAAAAGGAGTTGTCACTTCTGGGCAGTTTGCATAGGTACTTGCCCTGTAAGACACTTTTATTACAGAGTAATCTCAGCTTAATTCCCTCAGATTTAATGCGAATAAAAATGCATAGGGCTGGGTTAAAAACTAGTTTCAGTTCACCATTCCAATGTAAACGTCCACTGAAATGTCCCTTTTGAGCCAAAATCTGTTGTTAGTGTAATATGCTATCATAGCCGTCCTTGGAATTAAAGGCCAAATTTTACAGGTTAGTCGTGAACTGTGGTCTTGGGATTTGACTTTAAGAAATTAGCCATTGCATATATGTAGCACATTGGCCTTGAATTATATTTTAAAGAATTATTATTAACCCATAGGTCTGTTTGCTGCAAAGCCCATATTCCTGAACTGTTTTGCATTAGATGTTTTTGCAATGTGAGTGTGTGTGTGTTCTTACTAAAGACAGTTTTATTTCTTTGTATTAGTTCCTCAGCTACTCTATGGAGGGAAACTGGATTTCCTGGTTTTTGATTACCTTTCTGAAATTACAATGTCTCTACTAGCTACTGCCAAAGCTAGATCTCCAGTGAGTAATTCTTCTGAAGCAAATTTTTTTAAAAAATTCTTCTAATAAAAACATTCGCAATTTAATTTTCATTTCTTTTAGGATTTAGGATATACTCCTGATTTTGTATTAACTGCAATGGCTCCATATATAAAGGACATACACAGGAAAGGTATGACTTTGTATTTTATGTTGCTGTAATAATTTTAAATTATTTGCAATGTGTGTGGGCGGGGGGAGAGGGTACTTGACCCATGTGCTTGTTTTAAACCTTGGCTTATAAAACCTTGATTGATTAGAATTGAGCCAAATTCTCCTCCAGTTTACAAAAACTCTACTTGCCTGCTCACCCTGGAGCAATTCCTTACTGACTCCCAAGTGACTGTTTAGAGGTCTGTTTTAGTCCAGTCAGAGGTATGGATTAGAGCAGCCAGCTGTAATTTGTAGCTAACTTTAAGTAACCATCTGAGTAGAAACAAACAACAGAGAAATCAATTTATATGTGTACGTACATACATGAGCAGTGTATATACATTGTTCATAATCCTAATTTTTTTTGCCTTGCTTAGGTGTTCGTGTTGTCAGCAATGCTGGTGGAATGAATCCTCTTGTCTGTGCTTCTGCACTCCAAGAAGTGGCCAGAAAAGCTGGCGTCGACTTGAAGATTGCTGCTATTACTGGTGATGATTTAATGGGAGAGGTATTTAGATATTTTATTTCTTTAAAAAATAATAATAGGAAGGTTGGTACTTTTCATACAGTTTTAAAACCGCATATATGTTTGTCGTAGAAGCCTGAAGTCTGGTCAGGTCCTTAGTGTGTTTATTAAACAAATGTCACCAACGTTACACAAATGCAGTAGATAATCCATGGAGTTAGGAGACAGTGAGGTCTCCTTTGTCCTTATTCTTCCTCCCCACCTGTGAGGCTTCGGCGAATCAGATCCCTCTCCGGTGGCAGCAAAGAAGCAGATAAAAGAAGAGTTCTTACCAATTAGTTTATTCAATAATCACAGCAAGAGACAAAGGACTGCGGTCTCTCTCTAGATATGGCATTGCTCCAAGTAAAGTCCCATCCCCTCCGTCTCTACTATTCTACGTCACCCCTACGTCAGCTAATCTGAGCTTTCTGCCGCTGAGCTTTCTGTTCTGTTACCATCAATGCCTGCCTAGTCTTAGGAGAGGGGAGGTCAGGAATGCTTTCCAAAGAACTGAGTCTGTCAGCTGTCTCTCCCCTGGTGTTTCCTCTTCCTGCTGTTCCTCTTCCAGTATCTCCCAGCTTCTCCCCTCTGCAGCCTCTGAACTATGCCTTTCTGCAAACCACTGTTCTAAATCTATGCTGTCCTCCTGTCCTCGGGGAGGTTCAGGAGAAGGGAGGGCGGTCCCCACCATTCCTCCTCTGTCCAGTCCCTGACACCACCAGTGTTCAAAACTCCCATTGTGTTTCTAGGTGCATTTTGTGACAAGAGAATTTCATTAGCTCAAGCAGTTTCTGAGCTCTGGGCGCAATACTGCGCCTAAGATTTCAGATTAAAAGAGCAGAGTGGAAGGAAAGGAGGACCTTTTCCTGCCTCCCCTCTTCCAGCTACTCTCTGAAGACTGGAGAAGAGACCCTCTTAAGAATATTAGAGGGGTGGGCAGGGGAAGGACTAGACTATGGGGAAAATGAACATAATATTTTAGTCAAAATAGATAAAAAAATTAAAAAATTGTCTAGTAGCACCAAAGACCAACTAAGTTTGTTCTTGGTATAAGCTTTTGTGTGCATGCACACTTCTTCAGAGGCTTATACCAAGAACAAACTTGGTTGGTTTCTAAGGTGCTACTGGACAATTTTTTTATATATTTCAACTGAGTCAGACCAACACGGCTACCTACCTGAATCTGTAATATTTTAGCTGCAGTTCATTCATTTTCATCTTTGTATTCTTGTTATAAAAAAGCACGCCTAGACATTCTGTTGTTGCGCCCATAACCTAGGTTTAAGGAGCCATTTAGCTCCTAGTTTTCATATCTCAGTTTCTAACACTGCTCCCCACACCCCATTTTCTGGCATCCCTGTTGAGATGAACAAAAGTTATTGGTAGCCTGTTGACTACTACCTCACTTCAGCAGTTATTATGATACAAATTTTGTATGGGCTATGCTAGCATGTAATAATTTTACTATTTGATAAAGTGATAGCTGCTATTTATGAAAAAAATTCCTTGGGCTAATATTGGTAAACTGCATAACAATGTGAATATTCAAAACAATAGCGCATATTCATTAAAATCATGGGAATCTTGCCCTTACAGTGGTACCTTGGGTTACATACGCTTCAGGTTACAGAATCCACTAACCTAGAAATATTACCTTAGGTTAAGAACTTTGCTTCAGGATGAGAACAGAAATCGTGCTCTGGCGGCGCGGCGGCAGCAGGAGGCCCCATTAGCTAAAGTGGTTCTTCAGGTTAAGAACAGTTTCAGGTTAAGTACAGACCTCCAGAACGAATTAAGTTCTTAATCCGAGGTACCACTGTAGTTCTGTTTTAATAAACACTGTACTCATTGTACTGTACACTGTACACAACCCTAAGCAAACATATATATTTGTTTAATATTTGTTAATTATTTCGTATCAGATATTTTTGGATACGGATAAGAGAACCTTACACAATGATGTGATCTGTTAGCACTTAATTGCAAGCAAGATCAAGTGAAAATAATGGGGCTTGCTTTCAGCCATAGGTTCCTGGTATAAAAGCAGTGGGTGGCGTTCAGATGTCAGAATTCTAGTCTTCTAAATGTGCTTGAGTGCTTCCCCTCCCCCAGGCTCTGCAGTGCTGGTTTGTAGAGATTGTTCAAACCATTGTTTGTTAATTTGGTCATCATGGCAAATTATTGTTTGAGAAAATCAGGAAGTCTTTAATTAAGTTTTGAAAGAAAACGAGGAGAGGGGAAGCTCTTGACCCGGTTATTTGTTTCCAATTCCCCAAATCATTTAGCCACAATTTCTTGATTAAATGTTGAACACTCTTCTGAAAACAAACCTATTTAGTATCCCCTAACTTAATTTACCTCTTGCAATTGATAAATTTTATCTAGCATTATAACAGAAACATTACTTATTTTTCCGTCCTAGAAATTAGAATTGTAATGTAAATATTTTCATATCACAGACATAAGTTTGGGTATTTTACAGTTAAACAGCATCAAAGAATATGCCTCAAAAGAGGAGAATGGGAAGCCGTTTCCAGAAAACATTCACAGCATGAATGTATATCTTGGGTAAGATCTTTAAGAAATTCATCTTGTAAAAAAAATATATTATACGGGGAGCTGCTTTTTAGAGCACGCCAGTAGCAGTAGCAGTCTGTGGGTTGGAGACAGTATTGATCACCACCTACCTTCTGAACACCTGAGTATCACTGCTGGTTCCTGAGAAGGGGAGGGGTGAGGCTGAGGCATGGTATGAGTATAGCAGCACAAGGGTTGGATTGGCTCTGCCACCATGCCTTGTTCTCCACACCTCGCCCCTCCCACCTCTAGTGTCAATTTGCAGGGACAGGAAGTGTGATGCCTTAGCTCAGGCATAGGCAAACTTGGACCTCCAGAAGTTTTGGGACTACAACTCCCATCATCCCTGACCATTGGTCCTGTTAGCTAGGGATGATGGGCATTGTGGTCCCAAAACATCTGGAGGGCTGAGTTTGCCTATGCCTGCCTTAGCTGAAGAGTTATGGCTTCTTTCTATAGTACTTTTGTACCTTCGATCCCGAACGCCTTGTGAATCAAACGTTTTGGCTCCTGAACGTCGCAACCCGGAAATGAGTGTTCTGGTTTGCGAATGTTCTTTGGAACCCCAACGTCCAACACGACTTCCACAGCTTCCGATTGGCTGCAGGAGCTTCCTGCAGCCAATCGGAAACCACACCTTGATTTCCGAACGTTTTGGAAGTCGAACGGACTTCCGGAATGGAGTCCGTTTGACTTCCGAGGTACCACTGTAGTTTGAGAAACGCATTTCAGATAGGTGCATACTGTTGCACAACATAGCCAATGGGAAGGAAGTTATATGCCTGATCTTGGGGTCTCCTGTGGGAATGAAGGGGATTCGCCCCACCTGTATCTCATCCCTGGAATGCTTCATCACATGGCCTAATGTTAGCTACTAAAGATAGTGGAAACATTGCCTGTGGCAGATCTATTCCTGGAGAGTTTTCTGCAGGTATAGCAGAGGATTCTGCGGTAGAAATAGCCACCCTGCTGGTGGAGCTCCTCTCCTATCCAAACCATTTTCAACCTGTAGATCGAGGGGTTAGGATTGCATTCTTAAGGTTCAAGGTTAGACAGCAATATTTCACCAACCCAGCCAAACCTATCCTAACCTTTTAAGGCATTTTTCTGTCATTTTATTTTTTTACAGATGGGAATCTGAACCTGAGAGGTGGTGGCTTGTGTAAGGCTGCCTACTGAGTGTGTGTCTGGGGCATTATAAACTCTGGGGCACAAGATCCCTCATTCATCATGTTGTTGCTCTCTGCCCAGTAATATTTTGTTGTGTGTAATATTGAGAGTATAATCAATGATTCTGGCTGCAAGATCTTTTCTCTCAAAAGCTCAATTGAATTGAGGGTTTGTTCGTTTAAGAACCCTGTGCTGGATTTAATTTTAAATCTTTAAGATCGAATGTTCAATTATTTTGAAAGGTGAATGAGTATATCTAGTGTTTTAATGATCAATACTTCTGTTTCTTCAGTGCAAGGCCAATAAGCAGAGCTCTTGACTTAGGAGCAGACATTGTGGTAACAGGAAGATGTGTTGACAGTAGCCTTGTATTGGGACCACTAATTCATTCCGTAAGTGTGAATCAATGCTTCCAAAATAGTTTCCTCCTCTAGGAGTCATCTGTATGAATATTCAACAGGTTTCCAGTTTTTGTTATTTTAATTACAGACCCTTGAAGTAAAGTGCAAATGTATTTTCATTAGTTTTGTTTATTTCAGAAGCATCCAACTTGATGAAATATGCTTATTTAGAAAGTAGTTAGACAGTGATCAAGAGATGAAGAACTAACTTAACTTTGCAACCCCCTCCCTGTCTCCCTGTCTTTTTCAAATTCTTGTTTTCATAAATGGATGAAACCTGTATATTTCTATCTAAAACCTAGGTTGGGGGTTCTAGTAGTTCGTTGTAGTTCTAAAAGAACTATGGAGACAAGCAAATCCTCATATTAGCATGCCAACCTAGTTACTTTTTAGGAAAAAAATGTCATCCATGTTAATGAACTTCCTCTGATAAATCTATCATTATTTAACCACCTTTCTCTCATTTGTAGTTTTTACAGAACAAAAATATTTACAACATGAAAATGATTTCGCTTGCCACAAGGTGGCACAAAAGGTCAACTTTAAACATGTGATTTTTTTTCATGGGTTAGCAATTTTTATCTAAATGTCTGATTAGGCTAAACCAAATTCCTGCAAGTATGTAGAGCTGAGCTGCTGCACAACATCTTTAACATAATTGGTGTATAAAAAGTCAAAGACGTCAGTTTTTGATTTTGTTTGTAAATCATGTCATTTGCATCGAAAGCTGTGACTCCAGAGGTTTTGCTATTCATGCTGCAGATCCTTATCTATACAAGTTTGATATTTACCAAATGAATTTTGAAAGCCGACTACATTGTGTCCTGGTTTGCAGATATTGAGAATACTCCTCTTTATATCTGTAAAATGTTCTTCCATTGTTTATTGATGTCTATTTAATTTTCAGGGCACAATTCAGTTCACTACAGGCTCTTTCCCTTGCCATGTGTCCATGCAAGTTATCTGCCCCAAGGGGAAGGATAGAACGTGTACCTAGGCATCACGTAGTCCTCACCCAATGGCCTTCTTTTCCTGTTAGCATATGTGTGTGTGCATACAGGCAGTGGGGAAATTGGGCTCAACATACCTCTAGGGTAGGTTGTGATGAACTGTTCTTTGCATTTTAATATTCAGTGCACCACTTAAATGTACTTCACTTAACACTTTAAATGGGATGCGGGTGGCGCTGTGGTCTAAACCACAGAGCCTAGGGCTTGCCGATCAGAAGGTTTCGAATCCCTGCAACAGGGTGAGCTCCCATTGTTCGGTCCTAGCTCCTGCCAACCTAGCAGTTCGAAAGCACGTCAAAGTGCAAGTAGATAAATAGGTATCGCCCCAGCGGGAAGGTAAAAGGTGTTTTTCCATGCGCTGCTCTGGTTCGCCAGAAGCGGCTTAGTCATGCTGGCCACATGACCCGGAAGCTGTCTGTGGACAAACGCCAGCTCCCTTGGCCTATAGAGTGAGATGAGCGCGCAACCCCAGAGTCGTCCGTGACTGGACTTAACGGTCAGGGGTCCCTTTACCTTTAACATTTTAAACCTTTTATTTCTTTTATAGTTTGGCTGGAAGAGAGATGAGTTCGGCCTTTTAGCATCTGGAAGGTAAACGATTTGACTTTAAAAAATGATAAATGCTGTTAAAATGTAATTCTCTATGAACATCAATTATGTTCTGCATAATTCTAATGGAAACATTACTTTGAAAAACATGAGTGCAAAGTTTGCTTTCACATTTAATTATGAATATATCAAATTATTTTGAGTTCCAACGTAGAAGTGTCATGGTTTCAGGAAGCATATCTGGATCCAATGAAGTTGATGCAGGCTTCTGCATTGAAATCCCCTGCTAAATTGCAAATTATGTACAAACAAAGTATGATGCATGCATAGTTTTTGGTGCTAGATCTGCTGTATTTGTGGTTCTTGACAGTGGAGTAGGAACTCTGGATTAATAGACTGTAACATTTGCAAGCTTCCACAGTGT